TCGGATAGCCACAATGGTTAACCCCCTTGCCTTACCCCCTTCCCATTCGATAGCTACAATGGTTAACCCCTGCCTGCCTTATCCCTCCATTTCATAGCGACAATGGTTAACCCCTGCCTTAGCCCTCCATTTGAGAGCCACAATGGTTAACCCCTGTCTAATCCCTCCATTCCATAGCTACAATGGTTAACCCCCTGCTTTACCCCCTTCCCATTCGATAGCTACAATGGTTAACCCCTGCCTTATCCCTCCATTTCATAGCGACAATGGTTAACCCCTGCCTTAGCCCTCCATTTGAGAGCCACAATGGTTAACCCCTGTCTAATCCCTCCATTTCATAGCGACAATGGTTAAACCCCTGCTTTACCCCCTTCCCATTCGATAGCCACAATGGTTAACCCCCTTGCCTTATGCCTCTGTTCGATAGCCACAACTGTTCTCCCCTGGTCTTTCACCACTTCAGAGTTGTGCCCCAGACCTTGTTGTTGTGCGGCTGGTGTCCACAGCTGTCTCAAGTCACGGCCAAGATGGCGAGTTTCTTGCTGCTCGGTGAGTCGGACGGGTACACGCTGCGCATTTCCCGGTATTCAGGCGACGCGGGAGACTCCATGACTAACTACTACCATTTTAACAACGGGCAGATGTTCTCCACTTTGGACAGGGACAACGATGTCAGAATAGTGTTATTAAAGTTTATTTAATGTTCCTATCCAGGGTGTTCGGTGAGTCGGACGGGTACACGCTGCGCATTTCCGGGTATTCAGGCGACGCGGGAGACGGAATGGACCACAATTATTAATTTTGATATTTACTGTTATGTATGAATACTAAAGAATAAACAATAGTGTCTTTCATACGCAATGTCATGCCGTGTTTGTCTTTCATTGAGTCTTACTAGTGTTCCAGCTTTCTCAAACTTTTACATAAATATTGACATCACCTGTTAGCTTTGGTGGTTATCTCCATGACTTTTATAATTAGAGGCTGATTTGACCTAGACTTGTTACCGTGTAATAAAAGAATTACAACATTATAGAATTTTGCCAAAAATATAATATCAGATTAGGTCAGAAGTCACATGTTTCCCTTCGCATTCTACCAATATAAGTTGTCGAGTATTAATTTATTTTCTGTAAATTGTCACTTTACTGCAGTCGCCCAGTATTTCGAGCTACTCGTAGAGATTATGAATAAAAGGACGAAAAAACAGCGTAAGTAAAACTTGAAACACATCCTCAGAGGAGTTGACACTAGTTGGGAAATGCCAAAGACTGATGAGGTCACCTAATTCAATCATCAGGCAAGTGTGCGAGGTGACGCTGTCAGCATGGTGGAGAGCAAACAATATAGGAAAGCCCTGAACTACAATGTATGATGAGAACTTGACTTTGGGGTACTTAGTATATACATGTAGCATAGTAGGCATTCAATTTTACTATTACTAAGTATTAGCCCGTTTTTCGATCCATTGCTCCAAGGTCAAAGTCTTCGAGACTTCTCATATACAATAGTTTAGCATAACACAAGTTTGTATCAAAGTATCAAGGATATTCAGGACAATACGACTCTAGCTTCCCAAACATCTGAATATTAAAAAAAAAACATTGATGTGTTTCCATGGTACATGTCTTTGCTTAGAGTGACATTAGCTTTGAAAGCAGCCAGAATATGTGACTATACAGGGCGGCCCAGAAAAAAAGACACTCAAGCATAGTTATAGTTACTTAATTGGGAAGTGAATCTATGATAAACATCATCCAACATAGATCAGGGTTTGAAAAATGAAAATAAGAATTCAGCCTTCCCTATTGATCAGCTGCATTCTCGTAAGTTAAGTGATTTGCTCCTTGTGTGGTTTTGGCACTATTATTCCTGTTGAATAGAAACTTCAAACTGATCAACCCATGTTTATTGATGATTCATGGTTTTACACAAAACTCAGCTCATCAGTTGTGTCCAAATGTTGATGTTCAGACTCGGAGGGGTGAAATATCCCCAAGGTGGAAACTAGGTCAGTCGCCCGAACACAACATGCACTCCCAGTGACCCACTCCAGTGGTCCCATTGGGACAGATAAGAGCAGACACACACTACAGCGTGGATTTAACAATTACAATGTAGTTACGCATAGGTTCAATCAAAACCTTGTCTTAGGCAAGGCCCAAACACCCCCTGCTTTTGGTACATACTGATCATGAGTGTTACAATTATAATCCCTGAATAATCCTACGAGTGTTGGAGATTTTGTATTTGAAGAGTGACCCTGCTCAAACAGGTGACACTGAGTGTATTTGAAACAAATGGGATTCCTTGTAGCTTTTTTCACTGTCTGACAACCACAGGACATTCCTGCAAATGCAAGCTGATGTTTGCAGAAACCCATGTCACTGTCACATGTCTAAACATTACACTTTTCAATCAATCATTTTGTGACTCCTTATTGGTGAATGTGGGTATTTTATACATTGTGACATGTGTAGGTTACTTAAATGTTAACACCACTATGTATGCATATATTATGTTAATGTGTCGGTCATTTGAATAATTAATGAGGACATGCCATTTACAAAAACTCATATATTTCATGGAGGTATGAGATCTACGAATTATTGTTTCAGTTGCGTTTGTCTGTCATTCTGTCATTCTGTCTGTCATTCTGTTGGTCAGCTTGGTGGGTTGGTAGGGTGTTGTGAAAACTGTAAATGATAAGATTTTTGGCCCTCTAGTGATTTCCTTTGGAACTGCAGCGCAACTTCCGGTTTTGATATCTCGCCATCTGGACATGCTAAGATCATGAGTTTTGGATGATAGGTAGCTCCTGTCCTCGGAAAGACGTCACGTGAGTTTGGGCCCCCTAGCAGCTTGTTCTGAAACTGCAGAAAGGTTTATTTGAAAATATTCGAGAAAGGATAACTTAAGAACCGTTTGATGAATCGTCATGATTTTTGGTATGTATGTAGCATAAGTGATGCTTGATATAATCAAAATTACAACTATGTAAATCAGGATCTAACTTTCATAATTAATGAGGACATTCTATATATCTGTTGTATTCCACATTAGGGCTATGAAACACTTTAGACATATGTAATCATATGTAAAACGTTGATCATTGGCAGATATCGATTATGTAAATGAAGACCTAATTTGCATAAAGAATGAGAAATCGGTACGATTTTATGATTGTAACTACTGGTGAAGGTAAACATCACGAAACATAATTTATTTGAATCAGGACCTCATTTGCAAAATTCATGACGAAACGCTAGAATAGCCTTATTTCTTAAGATAACCCTGTTATGGGGTGGATAATATGATCAACTGATATAATATGTGCAAATCGCCGGATATAATTTGCATATTCGCAGTGACAAATGTATAATTAGCCAGCTTGGACGGCAAACATGAGTTGGCAAAGGCACGTCAGAGGTCGTGCTTGCATATTATCAACAATATCATACGTTGTCAATGTTACATGATAAGGATTTCACCAGTGTTTTGCATGTTACTAGGTAGGAGCTATGAGAATGAGATTTATAAAAATTTTGCAAATGAGCAGAATTGTAAATGCCATTTAGAAGTGGTCATCACAATGCATAAGATTTACGAGAACACTAAACAGGCCATGAGGGCCTGCATGCCCTTTTTCGTTAACCGCTATGGGCTATTTTAATTTACCGTTAATCGTTGCCGGCCCGCTCTAATTCAACGTTAAGCGTTATCAGTATATTCCTCGTGAAGCGTTATGGGTCGTTTTAATTCAACGTAAAACGTTATTTGTCATCCTAAATTCAGCGTTAAGCGTTAATGAAGAATTCTTCGTTACGCCTAATTTTGCCTTTCAAAGTACAGGAAAATGCGTCATTGAAGGTTTAAAAATACAAAATTTCCCCGGACCCCCTACATTGCTCGCGCCTTTGGCGCTCGACTCGCGCTTCTGCGCTCGGTCCCTTCGGCTCTAGCCAGAACCAGTTTACCCTTCAATTTCCGGAAGTTTGCGGAGAGTTACAGAATCCGTCAACCTTGACAGGCAAATTAACAAAAATCTTGAGTAAAATATGAAAACGTCAGAAGGAACGACAAACACTCTCAACACCATGATTTGCCTCTCAAAATGCGGGAAATTGCGTTTTTGAAGGCTTAAAAATCCTAAATTTCCCGGGGGAGCATTCCCCCGGACCCCCCTAGATTACGAGGGCGCTCCCCTCTCAAAATCCATCGGTAAAACTGGGCGGACTGAAAAAAATGCAAGCTGGCCGACGTCGACTAGGACACCCCGGTATTTGTGGACGCACTCGGGGACCAGGGCAGGTGGGAAACACAGGGAGCACATACCTTTAATGCGTGCTTCATTACATGTAAGGTGTACGTAATTTTGTCAGTGATCACCTTTTATCACAAAGCGAGATACCCAATCCAGTGCAGCTCGAAAAAAAAAGCCTGTCAATTTACCGTTAAGCGTTGCCGGCCGTCCTGAATTTACCGTTAATCGTTGCCAGGACCCCCCCCCCCCCCATGCAGACCCTCATGCCATGGAAGTATGAGATCGCCGAACTCTAGTTTTGTGTATGTGGCGTAGCAAAATAAGTTGTGACTCCGGTGTACGCCACATTGCCCTTGTTCTTTGTGTAATGCTAATAACAATACATGTATACTGTACTGTTTAACAACGTTAAACTTAATTGCCTTTGGGTCAGGTCTGTCTCAAGGAGCCATCCACCATTTTGGTCGTAGGCCAGGGACTAATACTTCACCGATATTTACTCAATGGAAATTTGCTTCAAAAATCGTTTAGAAAACGCGTCTCAAATTGGAATTTATATAAAATATTGACAATATGATGTACTTGTAAGCGGTCGACCAGAGAGAAGGCTGGGGAGGGCGGGTTCTCGGAAGGGTCGGAAAACAGGAAACACGGTACTTCCGTAGGCCTTACGTGTAACCCTTAACCCCTGACCTTAGACCGTGTCACATCTGTTTCTACTGGAGCCAAGGAGCAAGCGGGAACCAAAGTCCAGCCTGACAGCACGGATCAGCCTAGAATAAAGGTATGTCACGTACTAGTCGTTACAACCTAATTGGACGTAACTAACCAGCTTGAAGATTCAATACCAGATAGTACGTTTTGTATTTAACAATTTATTGTATAGCACAGAAGCTCAGTAGCCAAAGTTGTCGTCGGTGTACAGAAGCCAAATTTCTGCCCTGTCCAAAAGCATGAGACGAGAAGTGGTTGAGGGTCTAAATATTACTTTGATACGACTTATGGATGGCATATACATAGCTAATTCTCACTAACTATTTAACCCTAATCCTTGCACGGACACTGCCCCTTAAGCAGAAATATGGCGGGGCACGCGGCAGATATTTGACGCCACGTCGATCTAGACTGGGGACTACTTCCTTATCTCAGAGGCCCTAAGGTGACCAGATATACTAACCACAGCAACTGCAATATAATATATAATATTTTAAGCCATGCAATGAAATTTCAGGGCAACAAAATAAGAAATATTTGTAAGAGGAAATCTGTCTGATATTCAGAGAATGTACTGCCATTTCTTAGCACATTTTCATAATTATTTCGTACTTAAAGCGGTTGAAATAAACTTAAAAACAAGCTACTGGGGCCTTCTATTATGGTACCAATAGCTAGTAAGTAAAACACCCTAGAATACAAAACAAACAATCATGTTTCCTTAAGAAGATCGCAGTTTTTTCTTCGCAAATATTAGTCTGCTAGGGGATAGGATTGAATCATATTACTAGTACTACCTTAAAAGAATAACCAGAAAATTGACTTTGAAAATAATATATTTTACCACCCTAAAATTGTGTCACGGAGTAGATATAGGAATATAGGAACTGTTGATGTAATAATTATCAATATTTAATGTTAATATTAAATCATTTAATGTTTAACACTGAGAAGGACATGAGCAGTTCAGCTAAAGTACAAGGTCACCCAACATCCAAGACATTCAAAGACACTATAGGAAGTTAGGGTCAATTGTAGAAAGATAAGGTTGCTCTTCTTCTTTAGGTTACCTGAGGTAAACACAGAAGTTTTAAATACTAAATATGGTGATAGTCCCTTTTTCTGGGCTACTTGACATAGATTTAGAGACAATACCAGGTTCAGTAATAAGAAGTTCATTCATTCAACGAAGTCCCAGAAAGTAGATCAAGGATTACATCAAGGATGACCAGAGTTGTGGTCAGGGAGGGAGTCTCCACCTGGCTGTGTCCAGGGGAGGGAGTCTCAGTCAGGGGAGGGAGTCTTACTGGGGGCTAACAACTTCAACAACTTTAAAGTTTCCAACGCATTTCTTTGTGAGCAATGCTCGGAATTCGAAGCACCGCTGTACTTAATGGGAGCATCGTCACAATTGCACTGGGTATTTTTGAAGTCGCAAACACGGATGCCATCTAACATCCAAACCGGACCTAATGGTTGCTGTTTAAATATTTACATTTTGCAGGTAAATATTAGTTATGTCGTATGTTTTCACACGCACATAGGTAGTTCTTTTATTGAAGAATTGTTATGGAATCTTTCTTATCATAATAGCCTGGGTGCCAGACGCTCGCGTTCATAAGCGATAGAATTTTTGTGTGGAAAGAAGCCCTAATGTCCGCTACAGTATCCGCCGCCCAACCCCAGGCTGCCCAAAACCCCTTTATCTTTCACGCCAGGACGCGAAGAGATAATTAGACCCAGGGCGCCAAATCGGGGTTGGCAGGGAGTGTGGTTTCCCTGGCCGAAGGGTTATCTCTCATTAGCGGTAGGGGCTAACAAATAGGCTAGGCACACATCCCTGTAATGATTTACACCCCGTTCAGACCAGACTTAAGGGATGCGAGTCTATTTGTTATCCTCAACTGATGTAAAGCATAATGTTTTTAGTTTCCAAAGATTCAGTGCAATGTAACTTCACCATACGGCCCATGTATTTAGTAAGCTGCTGACACACAGTGACCCCAAATCTTCTCAAGTAGGTTCTGATTAAACAGTCTTTGTTTTTCTCATACGTGAGCTGGGTTTTTTTACGTGCAGAGTTTGGACGCCATTATTGTCCATAAGGTATTTCATAAACAGGGACGCCGGATTTACGTCCCCAACCGAAATGACTCGGACTAGACTCCTACCAAACCTTGTTCAGACACGGACCTGATCGGGGACATGTCAATTTCATTTTTTTAACGCAAAGATACATGATCAGTTTAAATTCGTACGTTTTTACTTTTCATGTATACGATTCATTCAGCTTATCAGGTACATAAAGGACGTTGGACTTTTGACCTCTGTAAGCTGACCTGCAAACAGCCCCTCCTGCCATGCCGGTCCGGCCTGAGGGTCAGGAGGCCTTTCAAGAAGAGCTGCGCTTCTGGGTCAATGGAAGATACCATGTTGGTACGTGGTAGGATAAGAGGGGGCCGACTAGACTGACAAATACAAAGAAAATAGCGAAATATGCACGATATACACATGTTATCTTCCGGGTTAGACAAGGTATGACAAATCCACCTTACCGACGTTTAACAAACACCATGCAAATATTTGACGGCAATGTAAGCGTTCTATTATTTCATTTCTTTTGTTCGTCAGACCGTAATATGTTTTAGACAATTGCACAACCGCTACGTTTCTTTTATTCATCGAAGAACATAAGTTGGTGAAGTTACGAAACCTTAGGAGCTGCTCAAAAACGGTTTTGAAAGGTTGCCGTTTGAATGTCGCAAAAGGCAAAATTACAAAATAATACAAAGTCTTATCCAGCTTATTGATTGTGTGTTTACTGATAACAGTTTCCAACCCTGACCCCGGCATGACGCTGAACAAATGGCTGCGCTCACAGCGAGGTCTGACTGGGACAAAGGTCATGTGTGGGGAAGGAGGGTGTGGCTGCTGTGTTGTCATGGTGACACATCCTGATCTGACCAATGGGGGGACACTTTCTTATACCTTAAACTCGGTGAGTATAACAATCAACTGTTTTGACATTTTGACTGTAATAGATAGCAAAAAATCTGTGATTTAAAGAAAAACTGTGTTAAACAAAATTCATTCGACAAACCTTTGGGAAACGGATAAATGCATAAGCTTCACAAGTACTACGTACAAGGAACTTTTAAAAATAACGTTTATTCGAATTACCATTAGCGGTGGGCCCAATATCAATGACATAATAACAGTTGCAACATTATAAACATTATAACAAGAGTTCCGAGATCTCATACCTCCATGAAATGTGGGCTTGACATGTAAATGTAAATTTCTTCTTATTAATTATGTAAATAACATAATAAATGCATCGTGATGTTAACTTTTGATTAACTTACACATGTACCAAGTATGAAATTCCCATCATTTACCACTAAGGAGTCATAGAATTTTCGCATTAATTATGCAAATTAGGTCATCATTTGCATAATTGGTATCTGTTGATGTTCCATCTGCCATAGATTACATACATTACATGTATGAAAGTACTATAATGTAAAACACTGTAATTATAGAATTTCCTCATTAATTATGCAAATTAAGTCATCATTTGCATAATTTGTAGTTAATTATGTACATCTCTCTCTCAGCTACCTACCTACCAAAATGATGATAATACCTTGTTCCTATCTGGACTTATTGGCTTTTAAAGATTTCACCCGAAAATCTGCAGTTCCAAAACAAGCTGCTAGGGGGACCAAACTCACGCCACTTATTCCTGACAGGAAAAGCTATCTGTCACCAAAAAGTCAAGACCATAGCATGTTTAGGACAAAAGATACAAAAACCGGAAGTTCTGCTGCAGTACCAAATTCATCCACCAGGAGGCCCATATTTGACCTTGACCTTTGTCTTCCTAAGACTTACCAGCGTACCAAATATCATCGCAATCCATAAATGCGTTATGGAGTTATGCTGACTACAAATGTGCGGAAACACAAACACACAGACACACACACATACAGACACACACACACAGACAGACACGCCTCCATGAAATATATGAGTTTTTGTATACAGTACACTAAGTGTTTCAAACACACAGCTAATCAGGCCTGCAGCTAATACAAACCCTAACCCTGAAATAGGTCACCTATTCCCCTGAGGGAACCCCATTAATCAAACCGGGTCCCAAGCGCACTGACTCGATAGCCACACAATGACACATCTGTTGGCTGCAAAGGAGATTCCTCATTAAACCGGAAGTGCTACTGCACTACCAAGGCCATCCACCAGGAGGCCCATATTTGACCTTGACCTTCGCCCCCCTAACACCTACCAGCATACCAAATATCACCACAATCCATGAAGGCGTTATGAAGTTATGAAGGTACAAAAAAGCGGAAACACAAACACACATACACACACACACACACACACACACACACACACACACACACACACACACACAGACGCGCCAAAAACAATACCTTCCATTTCATGGAGGTAAAAACAACAATCAGATTGCACAAGTGCTACTGATGGAAAGATGCGAAGACTACTGAAAGGACCTCGAGGACTGTGTGGACTGTAAAAACATAACATAACTTGGACCCCAAATATATTACTATATTACTATATATATATATAAATAAACAAACAAACACAACCTATATATATATAAACAAACACCACCTAAAAACAGTACATTTCGGCGGAGGGATATCTCTTCCACCGCTGTAAAAAGTTTTAGTTAAAGGCATCCAATGCAATTTCAGGGCGGCAAAACTGATAATATTGTGAATGATATTGACACATACTGTTCCACATTAGCCCATTTGAATCAGCATTTCATACTTTGGGCATTTAAAACTGTAGAAACAAGCCCCAAGATGAGTCCTTTATTTTCTGGGTGGTACCCTAAAAATCATCCCCGGGTCCTCCCAGTAATTATTTTTCGTCAGAATTATGAGCATTTTTGCTCCATGAATGTCGATATACATTGGGACAGTGTTGTTTTAACTTAGTATGTAGATATGTGGCGACAGTACTGACTTCTGGAAAAATCTGGTTTCCAAGCCCTTAAAACTGCACTGGATGCCTTTAACATCCCCCGCCCGTTCCCCAGTGCCTGTGCCCGCTGTGTAGTGTTGATGGTTGGACCATTACCACAGTGGAGGGGTTGGGCGGACAGAAGGCCGGTTTCCACCCCATCCAGCGCCGCCTGGCGGAATTCAACGGAAGTCAGTGTGGGTACTGCAGCCCTGGGATGGTGGTGAACATGTACGGGTGAGTGATTAGCATGTTTAGACTTATTCCCTCATTAGTAGTATGCTGACATATTTCAGCACAAATGGAAACAAACACTATTGATTTCAGCCATTCCGACAGTAGGTATAAATTGCGTTACTGAATGTAGGGTCAAAGGTGGTTGCTATATATGTGTTGCTAGAAGAGCCAACACCCACTTCGCAGGGGGCCTTCAGATCACACAGAGAATGTGTTGCATATACCATCCGGTTGTATGGCAAAATGTACATCTCTATTACACCATAGTTTGATAAACCATTATAAATACCAATACGATGGTTTATGCTTCATCAATTCCTGGCGATCAAATTTTTCCGTCCCGAACGTTATCGTATGTGAAATTGATTTTTAATATGATTTAATTAACTTAATTGTTTCCTACAGGCTGCTTACTAAGAACCCACAGCCCAGCCAACAGGAGGTGGAGAATCACTTTGATGGACACATTTGCAGGTGCACAGGTCTGTACATACATGCTGCATTTACCTGCTAAAAACGACAACTGTACTGATCAGCAGGAAACTTGGTTACCGAAGATTGACCTTAAAGTCAAGTTGGTAGTGACGGCTCCGCTGACGCAAGTGGCAACAAGGCTTCTGTCCTAGGTGCCAGTAAATTGACCAAAAACTCCAAATACTTGAAATTTCTGGTGGTTTGAAACCTGATTGGCTGGAACAGAGGTTCATTGTATAATTATGTTGTTCAACAAAACATTGCGACAAACAAATACTTATTGTTGTATTGCGACATTTTTAAACAGCACAAACAACGTAGCCAAGGAGAAGTAAAGCACCATCAACAGAAATGTTTTGAGAATATATGAATTACCATTAGACTGTGGTTATATCATATCAATCAAACGGCCAAATTCGGCCATTACAGTAACCGCTTTTGAAGTTGCGGCCGCGTACCTTTTTGGTGCTGCATATAAATAAGAATAGAGATATGACCCCGAAATCCGTGACTGCGTCAATGGCCTCGTTCATATGAAACCACCCAAACCGCGATTTTGGCAACTCGCATTCCTCACATCTGGTCCACGTGCCATACATGCCTTTCAAACCGAAAAAAGGTCAAAAACTGCATTCATTGTTGTTTGGTTAATGTCAGAGGTCAAATACCTGCTTGCTGATGCCCCTCCCAGCGTATCTCGGTCGAATGCCGACGTGGTCCCGCCAGAGGCGGTGAAGCTCGCCCTAGAACGGACACATTACTTGACCATTACTGCTCTTTTAGTTGCTGCCACGTAAATATTGATGTTGCTTATAAATAAAGAAATATCACCCCGTAATCCATGATCAGGTGAAGTCACATTAAAATTACATTGCGTTCAGACGCAAATCGCAATCCGGGAAAACTGGTTCGAAACTACATCTAGAAGTGGTTTGTGATCGAGGCGCTTTCAATGTGATTTGGAGAGTTCTGATGGGGGCAACATGAAACCGGCTTCGGGGGGAAACCAGCGCTTCGAATTCCACGTCCTTAACATTCAGGTTTATGGGATGAGGCTGTCATCAGGCACATGTGTCACCTGCAGGTTACAGACCTATCCTGGACGCCATGAAGTCATTTGCAGCTGATGCGGATCCGGAAAAAGGCGGCTGCATCGACATTGAGGTAACGATATCTGTTGAAAATCTGGGTTCCAGTCATTACTGTAAATATTGCCTTAACCACGTAATAATAATTGAAAAGTCTTTATTGCAAGTTCATGCACAGATGGGCTAAATTCACATTGCTTTTATTACTTCATTTGGCTTTTCCATTGCGACAAAACACAATGGAGGGGGTGACAATTACACCATATGTCTGGAAGATATACAATATAATTTTGAAAACACTGAGATGCTACATTCTAGCATTAAGCTAAAAGTCTATGTATTACACCAATACTATAAGATATTTATTATGTACTGTTAAACACAGTTTCTTCTCTTTTGAAACACATGGAAACATAACTGCATATTTTGTCCGCTGTACGTTCATTTCTGCATGCAATTAAGTATTTGAAAGAGTAATGCTTTTTCTTACATATCTTGTCTTATTGAAAAGTGTTAAAAATCATTTTCATTTACTTTGTGTTCTTTTTTTCTTTTGGTTTTATCATCCGTCTCAACTAGTATAGTACTGCAACCAGATATGGTTTTGTATGTTGAGTAGATGGTGATATTGTAACTTATGGTCATAGTGAAACTTGTAAGAAGCGTTGTATTTTTGTTCATAGGATCTCAGCAAACATCACTGCCCCAACAGCGGAGGAGTTTGTAGTAATGCGGCTGTGAACTGCACAAAGGGAAACCCACTGTTGAGGTGTGACCAAAATGGGGTGACGTGGTACCGCCCAACGACACTCGAGCAGCTGTACAGCCTGTTGGAACAGCACTGTACCAGTCAGAACCGGTACAAACTGGTCTGTGGGAACACTGCGTCAGGTGAGGCATGTGAATTGTCTTTGCCGATAAGGTCGTCCCACTCAACCACCCTTGACCAGCCTGTTAAGACAACATCATAATACTGGTCATAACCAGTACAAACACTGCAGCATGTAATTAATGAATCATGTACATGTATAAGCATTCATTTGTCTATTTATTAACATTTTATGGTATTCCTGGTGCGTCTTTCGTCTATGTAAGTTTTCTTCAATCGATAGTTTGTTCATTGTACGAGTGCACATGACTCAATAACCAAAAACAATACAAATGACAAAAAATGCAAGAAAAGCCGGGTGTCTATTAAAGCTCATGCCCGAACTTCCTTTTTTAAGAAACCTGGTTCTGTTTAGTCCGATTACCTCGTTGAAATTTTCAGAATTTTTAGGATTTTTATGAGTAACCATTTTCACACTTAAATGAATATAAATATAACCAGAAATCCAGTTAAAACTTGACAACCATGTTTTTGAAGGTGTGTACAAGAATGACGGCCCTTACAGCTGTCTGATTGACATCAAAGCTGTACCCGACCTGCACATCTGTCAGGTAAGACGTTGTCAAACAGGTTTGGTTTCATAAAAACTAAGTCCAAGATCCTGTCTTACTATATTATCTCTAGCTGATTGTCAGTCAAAGAATCTTACAACTGTGACTAAGGTTACGTGTATAATTTGTATCTCGTGATTGTATAATTGGTGCAGTCTTCAGTGTAACATTTAAGTTAACACTCCGGCTTTGTAAGTATGCACTATATGTAGCTGTTGATTGCACTGTCACGTCGAGTTATGTCACACCTAAACCTAAACTTTAGATTTGCCTCTAAGCCTTATTGGGGGACATATAGTAAGGGCACCATTCTACTGCTACTATTATTTTATGATAACAGTAGCAACAGTTCGTGGTCTAATAAAATGGTCATATATTCGGACAACTATACGTTCGCGGTGGCGGCAGGTAGGGCAAAAAATCTACTGAATTATTTCTTTAAATAATCATGGGTTCTCGGTACAGATGTGACCGCAAAAACCGCGAATATGAAAGTATCGCGAAAAATCTGTATTTTTTAGTAGATGCTATGTAATTGAATTTTATGCGATCCTATCGGAGTTACATAGAGTTAAAGCTTCTTCCTTATTTTCAGGCTGGTCCGCCATTGGTCGCTGGTTCTGCGCTGAGTCTGTCTGCCCTGTTGGACATGTTACAAACCGGTTCGGACCGGTCTCCATCCTACGGCGTGCTGGCAGAACATCTGCGTAAGGTCGCAAACGTGTCGGTCAGAAACGTAAGTACTGTACAAATGTAAAAAAAACAACAATGTAAACCAACAATCTACTTGCTTGTGAAATTTGGATTTTAAGTTAACCCTTGTCCTGCTAGCGTTCTTTACACAATATTTTCAAAAAAAAAATTGATGTCTTAATCAGGACAAAAACCCTTGACTTTTTTTGCCCTTCGGTGGCATAGTTACTAAAACATTCGTTGCGTTTCGCTGCGGTGTGATGCGTTGCATTAGAAACACCCCCAAATAGTACATGCACATATACTGGGCGCTATATAAATGGTACTGTATGTGCAACCCATGACCATATATATGTGTGGGCTCCCTAGTACAAGGGGTTTAAAAATGACTAAATCTAGTTGAAGAGATTCATTTGTCACGTATAGTTACAGTTCCTAGTGAATTCTTTCATCAGTGACAACTTTGGAAGGATAAGGATACTAACCTCCAAATTTTCGATGGCTATCAGTCCATCTTGTTCACGGAGTGGCCTAATCTCGCGAGAGCGCGAGACTAGGCCCGAGACTTGCATCGGTCTGTCGGGTACCACCCCCCGTCGCCTCCCTCCGAAGTAAGGGTAAGTAAGTCTAATTGGATACCCAGAATGGGCCCTGAGGGAGGGGGAAAACAACTCCAGAAAGGACAGAAGTAGCAAGGAACAGAGTAAGACTGGAAAACAAGAACAACTCCCAGCGAGTTACTTGGTTCTACCCTACATATATGGAGTTACAGAGAGGTTGAAACGTATATATGCCAAACACAATGTGAGCCTGTACTCCAAACCGGGCTTCACCTTACGTAATGCCCTTGTGAGACCCAAGGACCCTCTAGCACCCGGGGAGAAGTGCGGTGTGATCTACAAGATCAAGTGTGAAGAGTGCGGGGAGGTTTACGTTGGTGAAACTGAGCGGTCACTGGGGGAAAGGACTTCTGAACACCAAAAGTCATTACATCAAAAAGACTGCAAATCTGCGTTAAGTCAACACCAACTCCAGGCTGGTCACAACATCACTACCAGGCCCATCTCTGACATTATTGAAATCATAGACCAAGAGTCTCGTAACCCACATAGGAAGATTAAGGAAGCGGTGCACATACAGTTGGAAGGTGCCAAGCTAAACCGGACAGAAGGTTGGGAGCTCCCCAAGACTTACTTACCCTTACTTCGGAGGGAGGCGACGGGGGGTGGTACCCGACAGACCGATGCAAGTCTCGGGCCTAGTCTCGCGCTCTCGCGAGATTAGGCCACTCCGTGAACAAGATGGACTGATAGCCATCGAAAATTTGGAGGTTAGTATCCTTATCCTTCCAAAGTTGTCACTGATGAAAGAATTCACTAGGAACGACTAAATCTAGAACTAGAGTTCGACAATCTCATACCTCCATGACATGTTTAGTGCTTTCGTGAAGCTTATGCATAGTGATGATCACATAAATGGCTTACATTTACAATCCTGCTCATTAGCAAAATTTTTATACAAATTATTCACATAGCCCCTACCTAGTAACATACAACACACTGGTGAAATCCTTACCATTTAACATGGACAACGTATGATATTGTTGGTTATATGCAAGTATGACCTCTGACATACCTTTGCCAACTCATGTTTGCCATCCAAGCTGACGAATTATACATTTTTTACTGCCAATATGCAAATTATAAGAGCCCATTTGCATATATTATATCATTTGATCATATTCTCCGCCCAATGACAGGGTTATCTTAAGAAATAAGGCTATTCTTGCGTTTCCTCATAAATTATGCAAATGAGGTCCTGATTTGAATAAATTATGTTTAGTGGTGTTCGCCTTAATTGAACTTCCAAGTATGGCAAGTATTAAATTCACAGCAGTTACCACCATAAAATTGTACCAATTTACCATTAATTATGCAAATTAGGTCTTCATTTACATAATCAATATCTACCAATGATCTTGTTGTTCTCAATTACATATGTCTAAAGTGTTTCATAGCCCTAATATGGAATACAGCAGATTTATAGAATTTCCTCATTAATTATGAAAATTAGATCCTGATTTGCATAATTGTATTTTAATCATGTCAAGCATCATTTCAGCTACCTACATACCAAAAATCATGACGATCCATCAAACAGTTGTTCAGTTATCCTCTCTCGAATATTTTTAAAGAAACCATCCTGCAGTTCCAGAACAAGCCGCTAGGGGGCCCAAACTCATGTGACTTCTTCCCAAGCACGAGAGCTACCTATCATCCAAATTTCATGACCCTAGCATGTCCAGATCGCGAGATATCAAAACCGGAAGTTGCGCTGCAGTACCAAGGGAAACCACTAGGGGGACCAAAATCTAATCATTTCCAGTTTTCGTCACACCCTACCAACACACCAAGTATGAAACCAATCCATCCAGGCGTTCTTGAGTTATCTTGTTGACCAACAGACGGACAGACGGACAGACAGACAGACAGACGGACAGACGGACAGATAAACGCAACTGAAAATATAACCTCCATGACACATTTCATGGAGGTAATTAAAACGACAGAGAAGTCTCAATGTTTTTGTAACCTCCGTTGTCCGTATCCTAGGATTTAGCCTTTATGAGGTTGAAATAAAGATTAAAATAGCCAATTACTTTGAGCATGTTACCTCATTCAAACGTTAGGTCAGCGATTGGTTAAAAGTAGCAGTAGATTTCTGCTTATCACCCATAATTGGACTGGATGTGTATGGAGAAAGACACACAAATTGGTAGCCTTTTGTCTTTTTTGTAATTGTACAATCGTTATGGTTTTTTTTTTTTCTAAATCCAAATTCAATTTTTTCTCATCGATTTCAGGTTGGTAGCTGGGCCGGAAATCTGATGATGAAGCACGCCTACCCAGAATTCCCTTCTGATGTTTTCACCATCATGGAGGCTGCGGGGGCAAAGGTCACTTTAGGTCAGACAGGTCCAATTTTCCTACCTTCCCTAAAGATGCCATAGTGTATGAAAGAACGTTTTGTCTTTCCCTTACTACAATGAGGACAACATTCATTAGCGAAAAGTCTGAGGCATATATTGAAATATTAATTCAATCGATATCAAATCTATACATAATAGAATTTGGGGTCTATTGGGGTTTATTTATATTCTATTATTCACCACGTCCTAAAAATGTATCTTTTTTTTTTGTTATAGGTTGGAAGGATGATTCCCAAACGGTGGCTGTTACGGATTTTCTGAAAACTGACATGAACGGCAAGGTGACCTAAAGTCTAAATTGATAAATATTCGATGATAGTCCTGAATCAACTGAATCATCAGCTTGCTCATAATGCATTAAATTCAACCCCACGGTCCATTTTCCATTTTTACACACACGCTTGGCCCTATCTGTCTTTCTTTCAGAGAGTCTTAAAGTAATTGATCTAGAAATGAGAAATTAACGAAACGACCGGACACAGACAAGATACCGAATCTCACTCATTTGTATGTTTTTGTACCATGTATGTGTAAACAATGTGCAGTTTTACTACACTTTGTCTTTGAATCATGTAAATTTTATCGTGTTGATATATTTTGACCCTCTGACCCTTACATCTTCCCTTATGACCTCAATGAAAAGCGGCTTGCATGTCGATTTAAGCTTTCATGAACAAAGAATGGTTCAAACAAAGAAACCAACAAACAACAAACATCAGAGCCCTCTTCCTATCCATAAACCGTGACAAAGGCCGCCACCGACTATCCTCCATCTACAACACACTTGTCGAGTCACGTGACCTGTGCTGATCTTTCGACCTCCGGGTCACGTGACTGCCCTCGTCATTAGCTGAAGAGAAATGGTGGATGCCGTCTGAAAGCTCCTACACTTACGTATTAGTTATAATCCTTCCTTGTACTACAACAGACAGTCCTACCTCCCGTTTTTCCTCAGGTGATTCTGTCCCTTGAAATTCCACCTGCATCACCTGATGAAATCTTCCAGACCTACAAGGTCGCTCCTCGATTACAGGTGAGTTTTGCTAAAGTGCAAAGGAGATCTGATTATTTATCCCATTTATTTAGTACTGAAATCTATTTTAAAAAAGCGTGCTAATTCATATTACGGGGATAACTGTATGTTATTTGTTTGTCCCATTTTTTCATGGCATTTGCATGGTAATTTTAGGGATAGTACCACTGTTATCCCAATAAATTACCAGCAAGGTATTCATAATTCTCATCTGGTAATTTAATGGGTTTATTACACCCCTGTTATCCCATTAAATTAACAGAGAAGTAGTAGAAGTGCGTGCTACTCTGTTGTCGGGTGGATCAATGCATATTTAAGCAATCAGGAGCACAGATTAACAGATCTGCATTTATTTCAGAGTGTTAATTTAACGCTTAGAATGTCGTCTTTTAGATCATAAACCACAGAAGTGTTTACTTAAAATCTAGTCGACAATAAAGTTAGTGATGTTTAGTACAAACTCGTAGCTGGTAGCTGGGGGGTTGTACGATAGTAGATTCTTTATTGACACAACAAAAAGCACAGGGACCTTTTTATGGTCTTCTACAACTAAAGATCTAAAATAAAGATAACTAGAAAGGCCAATATTTGCTTTGGAGCAAATACAGCGATGGGTTCACCACATTTTACGACATGGCAGGGAAAGAATGAGAAAAACAAGGGAAAACAATGATTTACATTGATATAACTATAATATGAAGTAACATACAACTAAAACAACAGTTGGATAGCTATTCCCTACTTTATTGGTTAGGATTTTTAATTGCATAATGCAAACTGTTGATTTTCAAAATAAAAAAAAAACGTTCATGCCCCGCATTCCAATGCTGGAGCAGAAAAGCTTGAAATACCCACCAAAACACTTTAATAAAGACATACTGTCAGTATGGAAATGCTCTGTGCAGGTGTTAATCAAGTTAAATCCCAACAGCCAATCAGCAAGAAATGCTCTGTGCAGGTGGAAATGCTCTGTGCAGGTGTTAATCAAGTTAAATCCCAACAGCCAATCAGCAAGAAGTATAGAGGAAAGCTGCATGCCTATTGGTTGATGCCCTGCATTCCATTGTGATGACTCATGCCCAGACGTGGTAAACACGGCACACTAACACAGTAATACATTTGCTATAACACAGCCAAAAAACTCAAATAAAACCATTCTAAAAGCCTGTATCACAAAAATTTAAAAAAACGCCTAGGGGTATTTGCCCACTGTACCTCCATACCAAATTTCAGGACCTTAGGCCCTAAAATGAAGAAGCTGAATCCATTTAAAAAATGGCAGGAGAAGGAGAAGGAGAAGGAGAAGAAGAAACATCAGAAAAAGCAATATGGGTTCACCACCACTTCGTGGTGTGGTGAACCCATAAATACATGTGCGAATAAAGTCATCTTGCGTACAGAGTATATGTATGCAGTAATAATAAAGGTTGAACTATTCTCTAACACGTGGTCTAAGATCTAAAAATCATTTTAAGTATATTCTTATTTCAACAGTGTATTGTTTATCACCCCTGTATGTAGTTGAATTTATCTATAGGATCTAACGTGGTGTGTGCCCTTACAGAACGCACATGCCTATGTTAACGCCGGCTTCAGGATGTCAGTGGACCGTCAGAACGGCTCTGTAGTTACTGCGAAACCTGCCATCGTGTTTGGAGGGGTCAACAAGGACTTGGTAATGCTCCAACTTGCTGATATTCTGTAATACCTTTATCAAAACTACATTCGGGGTTGTCTTTTCGTATTGTTTGGGTGGCTAACTTTTGGAATCGCTTTTTTCATATCAAAGTAGCGACGGTTGCATAGGGATGAAAGGTGGTGTTGACAGATGATTGATAGGGAGACCAAACCCGGTGGTATGTGAAGGAATTCAGGAATGCAATGTTATAAGTCACGATCAAATTTATCATATAATACCCTCTACAGTTCCAATACATCCAGAAAAATCCAAACACTTCCCGGTATAAAATCTCCAATGTCTTGTCAATGTTTCAAAATGATGTAAATGATTTTGATAGCGTATTCTTGAGGTAGACTTACAAACTCAAATCGCAATTTCAGGTACATGCTTCAGCAACGGAAGATTTTATAGTTGGAAGGAAAGTCACGGATGCTGAAACCCTTAGAGGTAATCATAAAGACACAAAATATATCTACGAAATTCTATATTATATAAGTATCTATGTCGTTATCTATGTCGTTGCATTGTCCCCTTGATTTGTACTAATTACTTGAAAATTGATACAAGCTGTCTTTGCTTCACACAAGGAGCCCTTGCCATACTGGAGGCAGAACTAAAGCCGGATAATTCTGCTCTCCAGTCTGCAGAGTACACTAAACAGCTGGCAACGGGACTGTTTTACAAGGTTGGTTGTATCCGTATTTAAGTATAATTGGTAGCATATAAATAGTGTATCTTAAAAGGGTTCAATCTATTTTTTGTATCAATGTTTGCTGTATACGGCCCATGTCCTTGATACAACAAATTAAATTTGACTTTCTCTTTATCCGCGACATTTAGTAATTTTACAGTGCCTTGATGATAAATGGAAGATATGTCCATTGATAAAAAGTACGTTATTCTTATCTATGACACTCCAGTTTCTTTGTTTTCTTGTTTGTAATAAGACACATTGACTCAACTAATGACAAAAGGATTACAACTGTAGAATGTTTTTACTAGCACAACACCAACTAAATATGCACCGTACGTCTTTAATTAGATCACATGTAAGAATTAGAAGAAAGGTGATGTACAAAACTCGTTCCTTCAGTTCTACCTGTGTGCTGTTGGAAGAGAAAGCCTGAGTGAGTTTGTCCGTTCCGCCGTGGACCCGCTGGTACGGCCGGTGTCGCGCGGGGAGCAGCACTTCAAGACCAGCGAGGCGGAGTGGCCTGTCAGGAAACCCCTGCCTAAAACTACAGCAAGGGTACAGGTGAGATGGGCTGATCCACGGCCGGTACCTAACGGGCATTTATAACTAGTTTATGCAACTAATTCTGGATTAGTGTTGTTGCTTGGCGCAACGGCAGAGCGTTGGACTTGGAACCAAAAGGTGGTCATGTGTGTTGGAATAAGAAAAATAATGCTGAATTGTTGGTGAATATTGCATTAAAAAAACCCTGTTGAATACGCTTTCTGTACAAAGCCTTTATATTTTTCAATGGAAATTAATTGTCATTAATCTACGTATTTTCGAAGTCTTTGAATGCAATACATAGATACCCGTAAAGGGAAATGAAAGTCGTGTCCTGTTTCCTGGTCATGGAATCAAGTTAAAATTCTCAAAAATTGAAAGCAGTTTATAATTACATCCCTGAATAATTTCACCAGGTTTTAGAATGTCCAAATGAAAGCTCATCTGTGTTGGTAGAATCCATAGTTGTTCCAACACAAGGAAAGAACTCACCATAAATTTTCACTCACCTTTAACAGCAACAGATAACTGTAGTGTACAGTAAACAAGTAACGCCTACCTTCAGTGCACAATATAAAGGAATTACATTGTACCTATATAATAGTATTAGTATCTTCAGTGCGCAGTGAACCAGTTACACATATCTTCATGATCAGTGCCGACTGAGCAAGTACCTTGTTCTTCTTCGCTTTGCGTGTCGAACTTCATTTAGTTGAAGACTCATGACTTGGGGGTTGTAAGGGGTGGTCGCTTGGTTTTGTGAAATTTGTTGATGGTGATCATGATATATGGATTTGGAGTCCCGGCTACTTAATGGGCAGGCCGCTACGAACGCACTGTTCGCCACCCTACAGCTGGGCGGAGGTGAGTTCCTTCTAGCTATAGCGTGCGTAGTCCAGTGGTATGCGTTCCTGCCTCTGACTAAGAGGTTGGGAGTTCGAATTCCGGCTGTTGTCGCTCATCACCCGACATGCACGCTACTGTTTAGGGTCGCAGTCCTTAGGACGGGACATTAAGCTGTGGTCCACTGTTCATTGTGTTTGTCGAAAAAAGCTAGGGGAATTTCCCCGGTACAATGAACCTGTGAATACTGTACATAGCGTTTGTCTTCTCTGTCACGACCAGTGGAAGATTAGCTCTTCAATGAGCTAAACTGGTTCGAGATCACTTTTAGCTTAAGAGCGCAGCAAATCAGTCACAATTGCCCCGATAAGATGACAGACAGTCATTCAAATGCTAAACAATTTATTGTGAATAAAGAAACTATCTAACCTTGTAGTTATGTTTCTTTTGTAGTTAGTTATTTCTTTCTCTTTACCGCAGGCATCTGGTGAAGCTATATACACAAACGACCTGCCTCGGACCGCCGGAGAAGTCTGTGCCGCTCTCGTGACGTCAGCTGTGGCCAACTGTAAACTGGGAACCCTGGAGTTTTCACACGCAATGGTACGAGCAAAATATACACGAAAAAAGCATTACTTTGAGCAAAAACAAAATACTAGGACAACAAATGGCCTTCAAAGTTTTGGTTTCATAGGTCGTTTCCCACTAGATAGAATTATCCGGATCGAGACGAATAGATTCGCTTGGATCCGGCTTGGAACCGGATTGAAGCCGGTTCGAATCCGATCTATTTGGCTCGGTCCGGAAAATTATTTCTTAGTGGGAATTCGAAAAGAGCCTTAAACAACGTTTAATGAAGAAAGACATGACAAGATGTTGGATAATAACTTGTTAAAGGATGTTTTGTACAGGTCGCGGTTACCAAAGTTACAAATATTTATTGAATATTCGGCAACAAACACAGTTTCTTATGTGACGCCTTCTACTCAATCTGGTTTCATCAATGACATGCATTAAAATTCCAATGAACAATGAGTGTTTTTTTTTTAAATATCAGGACATGCCAGGAGCGGTTACCTGTCTGACAGCGAAGGATATTAAAGGGGAAAACAACTGCAACGTTCCGTTCATTTCTCCAGTGACTCCTAGAATCGAGGTGTGTGTAGCTCATATTTAGTACAGGAAATTTTGTTCATTGATGCAAAACGTTACGTCATTAAAAGATGCTATATGACAGAATTTACAAAAAATTAACAATTGATTATTATTGAATATGTCAGACATGTAAAAATCAGTTTTAAAACTGATTTACATCTCTGACATCTTTTGATAAGACTCTAGAATTGTAATTTTGTTGCTGGACAAGCATTATTTCTATTAGAAAAAGAAGAGTTCCCATGGCAAAAAGACTACTTATGTTATTCCATGTTGACGTTTTAGATTCTTCGTTGTTTTAGATTTATAAACAGCTTTTGAAGTTTCATTCTGTATCTTTAGTAGAATTATTCTCTCCATTCAGCTTCTCTCCACTGGCGAAGTACTGCATGCCGGTCAACCATTGGCTGTCGTCATCGCAGGTACGGTTCACAATTTACTGTTACAAAGGCACGATAAGACAGGCCATGATCTCATTTTGTGATTCGATTTGTTTGAAATAAAATGGTTGCTAAGGCCACACTGACTTATTTATATGGATGACATCCTCTGAAGACCCCCAAACTAGTGCGCGGGCGAATAAAAAAAAATACAGCCAAACATGCTGCTAAACCAGAGAAATATAAATCTGGATTTGTGAATTTGTGGTAGTGCATAGCTACTTTTACGACAAGCCGGCACATGTTGGCCTTTTGCGGAATCTATGAGTCAGCACTGTATTCAGTTCTTTAGTTCGGTGGTGCCTTGGCAGCTTGCGTGCCGTCCTCTGTAGTTACCACCGGCTTTCTATTGTCGCCAGCTACCATGAGCAACGGAGGATGGCACCATGAGAGGTGATTTTTTTAGTACAGGCGACAATCCATATTCGCGTGCGGATGTCGTCCATAAAATCAAACAGTAATAACAGTAATATAATAAGTGTGACCTAACGGATTTCTTCCAGACACCCAGTCCCATGCCGATGCCATGGCTGAGGCTGTGAAGGTGACCTACACTGACCTGAAGCCGCCCATCCTCACCATCCATGACGCCATAGCTGCCGAGTCCTTTCACTACCCTGTCTTCGAAAAAACAAAAGGAGATCCGATCGGTATTTATTTCTTTTCATTCCACCTCAACATCGGTTTCAAAGTTCATTCTTTTGAAATGTCTTCCCTGCAGTTTTACAGTTTGTTTTGTGGGATGGTTAGGTGATTATATGTACATATATAATATTTGCACTTTCAAATCTAGGGAGGTAATAAGGTCTCAAAAGGGCACAATGCAACATGATTACATTAAATGTTAGAAAATAATGTTAAATTTTTGGTATTATTTTACTTCGTTTGTGTTCCGTAAAAGAATCAAGCATCTGGGGATTTCCCTTTTTACTGTATATGCTACAAGTACCTTTCATAGAGGGTATCTTTTATTCAAGATGTAAGATCACTTTATTGATCATTGCAGTGGGAACACTGAATTACGTCCAATTTGCAAACAAATTAAAAAAAGATTCACTACAAACAAACAAACAAACAGTATTTTACATAATAAGACAAATATTTACAAAAACATGTACAAAAATTACAATCTATAACAATGACTTGTACTGGTTAAAACAGTGATCTGTAGTCTTGTGGGTGGTAGCCGTATGGGATGGAAGTACACACGGTAGTACACATGATAAAACAAAATGTAGTGCCTTTCCTTTGAGCGCAAAGTCTGACAAACATCATCTGTATCACCAGGCGCCCTGGCCGGAGCACCTCATCGCATTTCAGGAGAGGTCGCGAGTTCTGCCCAGCATCACTTCTACATGGAGACACAGGCATGTCGCTGCGCCCCCTCGGAGGATGGGATGGAAGTGCAGGCTGCTACTCAGGCTCCAGACATGGTTCAGACGGCTGTAGCTCAGGCGACTGGCATATCTGCTCACAGGTTAGAAACGATTAAATATAGATTTTTGAAAGAAAAAAGTATGAATGAAAAAAAGTAGAAATGAATTGGAGTATTATTTTGGGTTGCAGTTAGTTTGTGTAATTCTTGTTCAGGTAGAGTAGGTTGACAGCACGTGGGTTTGGGAGAGTGACAAACACAATGACAAGAATTCAAAGAATTATACAGAAGAACGTTTGATGAACTTGAAGGTCACAGAATATGGCCACCAGGACCCATCTGGAATTTTAATGCACGAGCATCTTTGCATCTTGTGACGTGGATTTTGAAACACAATGAAATTTATGGTATCTTTGATAGGCTGTACGTCTCGGTAAAGAGAGTGGGCGGAGCTTTTGGTGGCAAGACATTCGGCTCCCTGATACCTGCTGCTGTCTGCGCGGTAGCCGCTCAGAATATCAACAGGTACGTCCTAAATCATGGCCTTTCCTTTTTTATGGATATAAAAGATGTTAAAATCGTAATGACATGTAAAAATTGAATTAACAAACATGAAGACTATTTATTGTACGTTCATTTTACTTTTAATCACCTTTAATCACATTTTCTTTTGCTATAGGATTACATATTGCCATAGTGCGTATTTTTGAAGATCTATTAGAACATTTTGTTACAGAAAAAACGGCATGTCATGTAGCGGAAAGTACCTTTTGAACTAATAAAGCCTTCAAGAAAAATGTGTTGTTATTATTTGTTTGCATCATACTAAATAAAGTTTTAAGAAACCAAATTGGTACAATGCATATATTTGCACCGTTTCAAAGGCCTGTCCGTCTGAGTCTGAACCTCGCTACCAACATGGAAGCCATAACAAAGAGAGCTCCGTATGTCCTGAAATATGAGGTAAGTCTTCTTTGGTGTGACCATTTTGGCTTCTTGGATTAATCTGAAACATGCAGTGTTGTAAAATGATTATGAATACATATTTTAAAATTGTCTTCATTTGAATATCAAATAAATGACATGTACTTCTGAATTGTTACGTGTACGATACGAATGTTGTAAATTGATTCTAATGTATTTAGTTTGCTATTCTTTTCATTTAAATATAAAATTATGTACTTATAAAACATTTGATTTGGTACAGCTACAATCATGTAAGACTTGAATTCATGTTATTTCATTTTCAGTTAAAACAAACAGTAAAATAGCGTTTAGATACTATGTTTATATTCTTATTTTTTGTCAAACAGTCATTAATGTCAAAATCATTAATCACAATTTATTTTGAAATAGATGGATAAAGTATGATCTATTTTGGATTGAATTCATTATTACATTTTGAAGCACATAATGTCGTCTGATTTCTATGCAACATACAGGTTGGTTTTGACGATGCTGGGCGGCTGATAGCTGTGGTGTACAATCTTTTCGAAGATAACGGAAGTTCGGCTCAGTGTTCTTTCATCCCAATTCTTCCCGCGTTTGCTGAAAATGGTATGAGAAACTAACAGACTACTAGCAGAATTCATTTAGGTCACATGTAATCTCAAGAGAACCCCAATGCATATGTATCTTTATATCATACCCGGGCCGCGATAACGTTCGATAACGGGTTCCGGACCGGGCCGTACTTCTATATAATTAAGGGTTAATGACCCGCCCCGAGGTGAATATGGTGTGATAAAGTCTTGTCAGTTGCTATAACCACCGAATAAAGCCACCAAGTGAGCGCAGCGAACGAGGTGGCTTTATGAGGTGGCTATAGCAACTGACAAGGCTTTATCACACCATATTCACCGAGAAAGGGGGGGGGGGCATTAACGCTATTATCATTATAGTTTACACGATAGCCTATCCAAACTGATGCAGTAAGTGACACAATGTACAATTTACCCGTTGCACATGCTGAATAGAACATAGTTCCATCTGGAGTCACCTGAGGTCACTGGGCAGAGTTCACGTTCTATGTCTTCTATCTGGGTCACAGGCAGGGAATAGGTGTTCTTATGGGAGTCACCCGAGGTCATTGGAACACAACTCAAGTTATTTTTGGATTTTTTTAGGACTAGAGCCGTGTTCTATTGGGTCACCTGAGGTCATATGCGGGTGATTATTTAGTTATTTAATGTATGGATTGTGATGAATAAATACCCGATTTTGACTCTATTTGTGACATTACGGCGTCATAAGAAATGTGGAATGGAGCCTTCTGATTGGTCAACGTCACCCGGCTATATTATATATTGATGTTATTCTATGATATTATTCAATGTTGTGGAACACTAGGGGGTAGCATACAAAGGTGATATTATAGAACAACTGTGGTCTAGGTGGTTGGCTGCTTGAATTCTCAGGAAGGCTGTAGAAGTCAAATGGCAAAACAAATCGATGCGCTAGTTTAATGTTTGGGATAAACATTTCGTACCTCTGTACTACAAAATGGCTACAGTATGCCCGTCGTCACTAAAGGTTAGACATCACAATTAACTGGATAAATTCTAAAATCTGCCAGACGTTTGAAGTAGCATGCACTATTTTTCCGCGACTGACGGAAAGTAGTAAATTCCACTTCAGTCAATTACGAAAAGTGGTCAACGTCATTTAAAGCGTGTTTTAAAATCTATCTTACAAAATACACTGTGCAACATACGCTAGTTGCGGCGGATTTAGAGTTTCTACGCATTTCTTTCATCATACTTTGACCACCGTCCATTTCAGTGTACTACTGTCCAAACTGGCAGTTCACAGGACAAACCTGTAAAACTCACACCGTTCCAACAACGATGGCAAGGGCTCCAGGTATGTTTCTTCTTTATTTAGTTACTTTTATTTCTTAACGTCTTTCCTAATAATATCACAACTTTCCTGTGCCCTAACTGTGGTCCAGACTGCCATGGGGAGATAGGGCTGATTAACCAAACTAGACGCTGCACACGGCCACAACACCAGACTGTCCAGATGAAAGGATGCCAACTACTTAATCCTAATGATTTGACTTATCATAGAGTATAGGCTTATGAAAGGTCCGGTAAAAGGATTATCTTCTCTGCCAAATTTGCATATGTACATGAATTTTTCTTAATCTTGATCTTGTTAAAGGCATCCAGTGCAATTTCAGGGCCGCAAAACTGGAAATATTCTGAATAAGGCAACTTATATAACATTGACAAATACTGTCCCACATTAACATATTTGAATTTCAGAATTATTTCATTGTTTAGGCATTTAAAACTACAGAAAGAAGCCCCATGATGAGCCCTTTATTTTCTGGGCGGTACCCTAAGAATCAATCCAGGTCACCCAGGTAGCCATTTTCCGTCCGAATTTGTGGCATTTTTGCCCCATGAATGTTGATATACATTGGGATAGTGTTGTTTCAGCTCAGTATGTAGATAAATGACTAGAATACTGACTTTGAAAAATCTGGTTTCCAAGCCCTAAAAACTACTGGATGCCTTTAAGATGCACGTTAACCTTAGCCTAACACCACATTTGCCACGTTGGTACTCTAGGCATCAGTGCAGTTCACTTCTTCATGGAACACATCATAGAACACGTGGCGAAGACCCTAAACATGGACCCGATGGACGTCCGCAGGGCCAACATGTTCCAGAACGGACAGACCACTCTGTCTGGACACACTCTGTTAGACTGCAGCGTTACAAAACTCTGGGACGGTAGGTTTAGCATAATCTTTTTTTTTATTCCAACATATAATCACAAGACGTGGTGACGGCACACAAACATGTTTTTTTCAACTTATATTGATGCCTCCACAAACACAGGGGACAATACAATACAATATTCATTTGTCACCTGAGCGAAGTGAGGAAAGTCGTGTTAAGTGCCTTTCCCAAGGGCACAAGATCGGTGGCATGTCAGGATTCGAACCCAGGACCTCTTGGTTCTGAGTCGAGCACTTTGCTGCTACGCCAAACGACATCCTTAGGCAGATGACGCGGGGTTACTTGGTAGTGACAAAAACAGTGCATTTTCATGAAAAAAAAAACACAAGGCCAAAGGTCAACATAGATGGATGTTAAAAAAATGTGTTTTATTTAATAGATCTCTTGGAATCAGCAGAAGTGAAACAGCGCAAGCAGATGGTAGAGGACTTTAATAAGGTATGACTTAGCTTGTTTGATTTTATTGACCAAAAATTATGGTTTAAAAATGGCCCACTATGGAGCATTGAACTATTATAAAGGCATCTGGATTTCCTTCAATCGTTATTCCATCGTATTTTGCCATATTAAGATCTTCAAAACCTCTAAAATAAGCGTGTGTAGCTCAATGAAGATAGTACTAGTATACATCAAGCTTGCCGATGGACAAAACGCAGTGTATGCTAAAGCTAGTTCGATTGAAATGCAAATCAAGGACACCAACATGGCCGTCATCAATCTGCCCGCTTTATTGTATAGTGCGAAAACGATCTGTAGACAGACTGCATATGTACATACAGTTATATACATTAAGCCGAAAAGTACACTTGGTAGTAATTTCACAGTACGAATTACATTTACCTCTGTCTTTTTAGGTTCACAAAACGTTAAAATATAGACCAATATCGAATGTTGAAGACCAACATGACACGTACTAAATCATAAACGGGATGCAAAGAAAAAGAACGTACAAAGAATGCCCAACCTGCCCTCTGTCAGCATTACATTACCTTAGTTTCCTGACACAGGAACATCGATGGAAGAAGAGAGGCCTGTCGGTGGTCCCGTGTCGGTTTGCCGTACACACTAACTTCTTCCGCTTCACGGTGTTTGTGGCGATCTACCACACGGACGGCTCTGTGGTCATCACACACGGAGGGGTGGAGATGGGCCAGGGCATTGATACAAGGGTGCCAATTCTAGTCACAATTTATCCGAAGGCTATCATTTTCTGTTCTTTCTTGAAAGTCCATCTGTGTTGGTAGTTACATGTTCAAACTTTTAAGTTGAAACCAGATGCAACAAGAGCTTTCGACCAGTAACTCTTGTCGTCCTCAGTAGACTGACCCAGTGAGGCTTGTCACGTGGCTTCTTTGAAGTTTGACGTCAACACACGTCACTTAGCCGCGACGGGGGCCGACATCGTCTACCAGATACCTTTGACCCAGTGCTGACGCCACACTTCAAAGAAGCTACATAACAATCTTTACTGGGTCAGCTTACTGAGGTAGACCAGAGTGACTGGTAGAAAACTCAAGGTTATTGAACTTGATTGTGTTGGATCTACATTGTGAGTTCTAAACTTTAAACATACTATTTTCTGTAGTCTTCAACGTCCGTGGATAATGAAGACTTGATCACCGGGCTTCATAGATAGACCAAATTTCTAACTGCAACTGCTATTTCTAATTCCTCCAACCAAAATGAGACGAACGCCCGTGCCCCATACATTTTGTAGTACGTATAATCCTGTATTGCCATATGAGACAAGTAATTTTAGATCAGAAGGCACATTGGGTGACCAGTTTGCTGTCTTTTATGGTCAGCTAATATAATAACAGTGTTCGCGAATTATTTTATAATCACCATCTCTGAGAAAACATAAGCAATAATTTTAACAGCAAAAGACTTTGATAGAGAGTGTTGATCCTGTCAATCATACATAATACTAAAAATGGCGGTCACTGTTTTAATAGAGATTTTTTGATGATAACTCTTGTGCTGGGTTTACTTCATAATTACGATAATTGTGCCGGGGTACAAATTGTCGAAGATGGTTGGTGCATTATAATATAATTTACTGCTTTGACAGACTCCTCTTTGATTAAAACTGTCATGTGGATAAATGCTGAGGAATCGTTTGACATCATAAATGCAGGTGACGCAGGTGGCAGCGGCCACCCTGGGCGTTCCCATGGAGATGATCCACGTGATGTCTACCAACTCTCTCACCAGTCCCAACAGCTCTGACACGGGAGGCAGCGTCACTAGTGAGCTCAACTGCCAGGTACAGTCACCTAATGATATACTTCGATCTTTATGAAGCAAAAACTAAACTTTATCCCCAGCACTGGAATAAAACCGGGACTTACCCAAATTTTCGGCTGACTTCGTCAACGGAATGGACTCACTACTCTTAGAACGTAACTTGGAGACACGTGACCGTAGTAGTAGTGGGTCATAATGGCCAGATAACGTGTGTCGCCCCCCGTCTCTGTTCAGTGTAAGTCTGTGAGCTCCAATGTAGATCACAACTATTTAAAGAATAAATAATACCAAGTACCGGTACGACCAATACAAGGGTTTGGATGTGCATTTTTATCATATGTTCGCATTTTATTTTGTTTTGACTAGGGTGATTTGACTAGTTCTGAGGCTATGAGATAGTCACCTTTTATAAGTCTTCACGAATTATTTCCGATAATCATTAACACAGGAGCAAACGATGGTGGATTAGTAGTAACTAGGCCTAGGTGGCCCAATTGGCCCAGGTGCAGTTTATAAGCCGCCGCAAGGTGGCGCTGTTTGGAGGTGTGTTTATGGTTATCGGATTAGTAATATTATCTGTAAATAATGATTAGTTAATGAGATTAGCTATGCAAAGCGGATTAAGGGTTGATCAATATTGAACCAGCTGGCACGTCTGGACATGTGTAATGATGAATACAATGGCGATGACGTGTAGCTACCGGATTGGTCGTTCATTGTGCGGTATTGTATATAAGATGGGGGAGCGCGGGAAGATTTTACCGAGTGCGAAATAGTCACGACGAAGCAGCAACATGTCTGAGCTCCACGATCTTGTAGCTGAGCTGACCGGAGAAGAACCACCAGCGGCAAGTCCTCAGGCTGGCCGAAAAAACCGTCGCAAGAGGAAGAACGCTGATTTTTCCGCAGCCCCCACTACAAAGCGCAGTCAGCCTGACGCAGTTGGACAACAGAGACCGTCCAACACCAGCAGCTGCAGCGGTGTCGCCGGAGTGCAACCGTCTCTAACTTCACCGATCGAGACGATAGTATCAAACGTCCCGGCACAGTCAAGCGGAGGAAACCTGAATGGTGACGGCCACATCGCTCCCTTGCAGCAGCCGTACTGGGTGAACTCCATGGCGGGACGTTACCAACACCCCGACACGCCCCGATCAACCGAGCCGGCGCCGTACGGGATGCAGTCGCGCGACGCAGGGCGGTCAACGCAGGAGGTGCGGCTTCCATTAGGCGACGATGTGTTTCTGACTATTGGTTTGTTTCGGGGAAAGCCTCTCATCTCTGTAAGACTGTTCTATCGCCCAGATCCTGCCGACGTCAACAAGATGAGACCTGGAAAGGTTGGGCTGTCCATGTCGCCGGCACACTGGGAGGCGCTGAAGGCACAACCGTTGCTGGGGGCGATCCTGGATTGTACCTACGCGACCATGCCTATAGACAACACGACGTTCTCACCGAAATCCTTCGAGTTGGGAGGGCGGCGTTTCGTCACGATACAAGTCATGCGTGGTCAACCTGTCGTGTCGCTAACCCAGCTGTACAAGCCGTACGGGGAGCCTGACACAGCACCTCTTCAACGGAAAGGCATCAACTTAACCATGGAGCAGTGGAACGACTTGGAAACCAAAATGGAGACCGTCGACAAACTGTTAGCGGGTATGCAGGCTGGGAAAGACCCTGTGGATAAAGACTTGATCCAGACAGCAGTGGCGTACTAGACACGTAACTTGTGACACAAAGAATAAAGCTCTCTGTGGTATGCACGCAGACATGAGATCTTATACCGTTGGCTGTGTTGTTTCATTGTTTCTCTACCTGTAGTGTATGCGTGTGTGTGTGTGTGTGTGTGTGTGTGTGTGTGTGTGTGTGTGTGTGTGTGTGTGTGTGTTTATGATTAGGAGATCGTGGTGCTTGCCTGGGCATGCCTCTTGTAGATCCGCCTTCTTGTTGTCATAAGTTGTGACGTGTAGACTGTTGATTGGGCATCGCTAATCTTAGTGTAGTTCATAAAGGGTCCAACACGGCGCTGGGAGACACTCTGATCGAGAAGTCTGCAGCTGACGACTGAGAACATCATGGCCTGTGGCGGAAAAGACGACATCCATGACCTGCCTGTAGAAGTGACGCTTGTAGAGAACGTGTTCCGAGAAATATGTGGGCAGCTGTACACCAAGACGTTTCATCGTCTCATGGCTGAAGACTGCTATGGATGTCAGGTCCACCATCCGAGTCAACGTAACCATGCCTGTCTCTACATGGACGACGAGGATGCGAAGAAATACGCCAGACGTGCCCTGAGGAGCATGAGGTTCAATAAAACGTACGCGGTCTACTTCCGCATTACCGCGTATCTCTGTGAACCAGAGGATGTCCCAGTGCCGAAGCTCATGCTGCAGAAGTATGAGGAGTGGTATCAGCATATGCATTGGTCCATCGAAGCAGACGACGCGGGGGCTGGTGAGAAAGAAGAAGAAGAAGAAGAAGAAAAAGAAAAAGAAAAAGAAGAAGGTGCAGAAGAAGAAGAAGAAGAAGAAGACGGAAAGTACGACGCCGACGACAGATCTGTGTCTATCCCCCGATGGATCAGAGAGTTGATCGAAAGAGAACTCCGTGCATAGGACTTTGTAGAACTGTGAATGTCGATTGTTTCTCCCCGGATCAGAGACGTGATCGAGAAAGAACTCAGTGCATAGGACTCTGTATAGTAGTATGAACTGTGAATTCTGATTGTCGATTCTTTCATGAATAAAGTGTTTCATTATCTGGAAACTCCTTCGTCTGTGTGTCTTTCCTTCTGTTTGTTGAAGATCTGTGAAATGGTTTATAAACTATCTGTGTCAAACATTCCCGGTCAGTAGTCGACAGGCACCGAATAGAGAGCGACATGGATTGTCTCCTTTGCACTCTAGGATTCAAGAATATATTTCAGGATGTAGTGCACCGGCTACATTGTGCGTGTCTGTGTGTTGGAGGAAGGGTGTTCGTCTTCCTCGGTGGGTTGGGATGGTTTCCACGAAACGTGTTAAGACGGGGTTCAAGAAGCAAAGGACGTCCAAAACAGCATTCAAAAAGTCCGAAAAATGGCAAGAAACTCTCCGTAGAGTCTACTACGACCCCAAACATCCAGCCGGATATGGAAGTGTTGAACGCCTGTACCGCGGTGTAGGAAAGAAGAACGGGATTTCGAGAAACAGGGTAAAGGAGTGGCTTCGTTCACAAGATGCGTACACGCTACACAAACCCATACGAAGACGGTTTAAGAAAAACAGGGTTATGGTAGGTGGGATCGATATTCAGTGGCAGGGAGACTTGGCAGACCTCGGTAGTTTATCAAAGTTCAACGACGGGTACCGCTACATTTTAACGTGCATTGACGTGTTTTCAAAACATGCCTGGGCAGTACCTATCAAGGACAAGAAAGGTGTTACTCTTGTGACAGCTTTTCAATCGATCTTAGAGGGCGGCAGGAAACCTTGGCGGTTGCAAACTGACCAGGGTAAGGAATTTCTCAACCGAAACTTTCAAACCCTCTTGAAAGACGAAGACATCGAATTCTTCACAACCTTTAACGAGGAGACAAAGGCTAGCGTGGTGGAGCGTTTCAATCGCACACTGAAGACCCGGATGTGGAAATACTTTACCGCGGCCAACACGCGTCGGTATGTCGATGTTTTAGACGACCTTGTTTGGGCATACAACCATTCTTACCACTCCAGCATCAAAATGCCTCCCGTGGAAGTGAGCAAAGCCAACCAGCGATCGGTGTGGCATACATTATATGGTAAAACAGAAAGACAAAAGAAGAAGAATATCTTCAAATTTCAACCGGGAGATCTCGTTCGTATTAGTAAATCTAAACTCAAAATGGAAAAAGGTTACACGCCTAATTGGACGACAGAAATTTTTACAATTTCTAAACAGATACCCCGACAACCACCAGTTTATAGAGTGAAGGACTACCATGGGGACGAACTGCAGGGAACCTTTTACGAGCAAGAGTTGCAGAAGGTGAGCAAAGTGGACGACGTGTATCTAGTGGAAAAGATTCTTGATACCCGAAAGCACAGAGGTAAAACGGAGCATCTGATAAAGTGGAAAGGATACCCTAAGACGTTCAACAGTTGGGTGAGGGAAGAGGACATGACACCTGTTAAAACAGGCGTCAACATACATCCCTAGAACACTCTTCTCGCGGTTGTCGACATGTCTACTTCGTTCTACGTAACCTTACCGAGCGACGGATCTTCCGATATTTATCCGGAAAACACCCAGACAAATTACCGAATCAGGTTGGCCCATCACGTCGAGTTGAGTGGAGAATGGGAAGTGGCACTAATGGAAATACAGTACCCGCGCTCTTGGAAAAACGTCCACCAGGGAGAAAATACGCTGTGTTACGTTCAACGTGAGGAGAAGGGTGGAGACGAAAACAATAACAAGTTGGTGAAGATACCTGTGGGGTACTACAACGACGTGCCACAAGTTGTGGAAGCTCTGAACGAGGCCGCGTATTCAGAATACCCTGAGTATGGGAGACATGACATGTTTTACTACGACAAGGTTGAAAAGCGTGTTTCCATGTCGCTGCCTTCCGAGCTGGTGCCGCGTAAGTTTTCTTTATGTGGTACCCTGGCCGCACAGCTAGGCTGGAGATCGCCAACAGACGTTGTAGGGAACAAGGGGAAGGCGCCATCCCCTCCAGACCTGAATTTGGGGTTTCACTCCCTGTTTGTCTACTGCGATCTTGCGGAAGATCGACTTATCGGTGGAGTAAAAGCACCGCTTTTACGCGTCGTCAAAGTAGGAGGGCGTGACGGGGATATGGTGGACCACGAAATCAGCTCGCCACACTACGTACCCCTGGGGAAAAAACGATTTGAAACGGTGGAACTAGATATAAGAAATGATTTTGGACAGGCCGTGCCATTTGAGCACGGTCGCGTGTTAGTGACACTACACTTCCGTCCAAGGAGGTCGTCATACTTATCTTGAGGGTGACAACAAAATGACACAGCGAGGAGGACAACTCCCTGTTTTCCATGGAAGAAACAACCAGCATGGTTATGGTCTGGGAGGAATCTTTAGAGGTCTTTTTAGGACGGCACTTCCTCTACTGAAACAGGGTGGGAAGGTTTTGGGGAGACAGGCACTGAAAACTGGTGCCGTTCTTGCCAAAGACGTGTTGAAAGGTCGCAACGTAAAATCTGCAGCCAAACGACGGTTGGGTGAATTTGGTCAGGACGTGTTATCGGAAATTAATCCTACTGTCAACAGAAACGGAGGAAGCAAACGGAGCGCGACATCTCACCGGGTGGTCAAGAAAGCTAAGATCGCTGGAAATCGCCCAATAAATACCGCGAAACGCAGACGGGTTGTCACTTCCAAAAGAGGGAGTGCTAGGGGTAGACGGTCCCCTCCAGACATATTCGATTGAACCATGGCTCACCTACATCCTCTATCTTGTGACTGCACCAAGTCTGAGCTAGACCTTTTCCAGGTTCCACCTACTCAAACGACAATCCAAGAGGGACGCTGGGTTGAATACCGACCCATTGCCAACTTAGCAGAGTCAAGTCCTGTAGAGTTTGACATACCTAGCTCTGGAGATGAATACACCGACCTGAGCCAGACCCAGCTGTACGTGCGTGCAAAGGTTGTGCAGGGAAATGGCACCGATCTGCCCGCGGATGCAAGGGTTGGCCCAGTTAACTTGTGGTTGCACAGTTTGTTTCAACAAGTCGACGTCAGCTTAAACAATAAACTGGTCACGCCGTCCACAAACACGTACCCTTTCAGGGCTATGATCGAAACAGTGCTCAACCATGGTGCAGAGTCGAAGGAGACGCAGCTGACATCATCCCTATTCTACAGGGATACACCCGGGGCAGTGGATGTGAGCGATCCAAATCCTGAAGGAGATGATGCTCTCGTCAACAAAGGTTTGCAAAAACGAGCCCAGTTTACACGGCGGAGTAATGTCGTCGACATGATCTCCAATCTCCACGTTGACATGTTCTTCCAGGAACGTTACCTCATAAACAACGTAGACCTGAAGATCAAACTGCAGCGAAGCAAAAATCAGTTCTGTCTGATGTCCTCGGAAGCAGCGCCAAACTACAAGGTGGTCATCTTGGAGGCTGCACTCTTTGTTCGCAAAATCAAACTGGCTCCTTCGTACAAACTGTCAATTGAGAACCAGCTAGCCCGAGAGACGGCGAAGTATCCCATCCGGAGAGTGGAGGTGAAGGCCATAACCGTCCCAAGGGGACATCTTACCACAAGTACAGACAACGTCTTCCTGGGTCAGATCCCTCGTCGCATTGTGGTGGCTCTACTGGAGAACACAGCCTTCCAGGGTTCATATGCGACCAACCCTTTCAACTTTCAGCATTTCGATCTCAACTACATTGGGTTGAACATTGACGGTGAAACTGTGCCGCATAAAGCGCTAACACCGTCATTCACACAGGGAGATTTCATCAAGTCCTACTACAGCCTGTTCGGAGCAACGGAGAAGCTAGGCAGGGACACGGGAAATCAAATCAGCAGGGACGACTTCGACAAGGGGTACGCTTTCTACTGCTATGATCTGACACCAGACCTCTGCAGTTCTGGACAGGGACATTTCAACGTTGTGAAGCACGGAAACGTGAGACTGGAGTTGCACTTTGCAAAAGCGTTGGAACAGACCGCAGTCGTTCTCGTGTGGGCCGAGTTTGAAAACCTGATCGAGATCAACAATCACAGAAACGTCCAGTTTGACTACACCAACTGATGAACACAAACCAAATTGACGATATCCTATGGACAGACCCTGTCACCTCGCTGTACAGTAGAGGTGTTTTTGCTGTGAACGAAATTCCAAAACATGTTCGGAGTTTCCCTGCAGCGTTTGTTCTAAATACAGATCCAAGCGACCAACCCGGCGAGCATTGGGTGGCAGTGTATTACGATGTTTCTGGACGGGGCGAGTTTTACGACTCGTACGGAATGCAACCTAGCTTTTATTCGGAAATGATACAGAAATTCTTGAGAAAAAATAGTCTTAAACCGTGGATTTACAATTCGCGTAGAGTGCAAGGTCGATTTGCGACAACTTGTGGTCAGCACTGCTTATTTTATTTACTACATAGATGTAGAAATGTTACTATGTCGGAAATAATAGATAAGTTTAGCAACGAATATGACTTGAATGATGAGTATGTAGTCGATTTCATTGAAAGCCATTTCGATGTGAAAACTTCGGCGATGGATGTTAGACACGTAGTAAATCAAGTTGTTAGAACTCTGAGTTTTCTGTAATGATTTTTACCAAGATCTCATAATAAAGGATTAAAGAAAAGAATATTCGTGTCTGTTTTTCTTTGTGGTCATCGATTCCCTTACAAGCACACACACACACACACACACACACAAATACACACACAAGCAAATAAGACATAGAAATGAATAAAGAGAGATGACATAGTCAGTTAACAGCGTATCATCTGTGTCCTAGTCACAGAATAAACCATTTCACAGATCTTCAACAAACAGAAGGAAAGACACACAGACGAAGGAGTTTCCAGATAATGAAACACTTTATTCATGAAAGAATCGACAATCAGAATTCACAGTTCATACTACTATACAGAGTCCTATGCACTGAGTTCTTTCTCGATCACGTCTCTGATCCAGGGAGAAACAATCGACATTCACAGTTCTGCAAACTCCTATGCACGGAGTTCTCTTTCGATCAACTCTCTGATCCATCGGGGGATAGACACAGATCTGTCGTCGGCGTCGTACTTTCCGTCTTCTTCTTCTTCTTCTACACCTTCTTCTTTCTCTTTTCCTTTTTCTTCTTCTTCTTCTTCTTTCTCACCAGCCCCCGCGTCGTCTGCTTCGATGGACCAATGCATATGCTGATACCACTCCTCATACTTCTGCAGCATGAGCTTCGGCACTGGGACATCCTCTGGTTCACAGAGATACGCGGTAATGCGGAAGTAGACCGCGTACGTTTTATTGAACCTCATGCTCCTCAGGGCACGTCTGGCGTATTTCTTCGCATCCTCGTCGTCCATGTAGAGACAGGCATGGTTACGTTGACTCGGATGGTGGACCTGACATCCATAGCAGTCTTCAGCCATGAGACGATGAAACGTCTTGGTGTACAGCTGCCCACATATTTCTCGGAACACGTTCTCTACAAGCGTCACTTCTACAGGCAGGTCATGGATGTCGTCTTTTCCGCCACAGGCCATGATGTTCTCAGTCGTCAGCTGCAGACTTCTCGATCAGAGTGTCTCCCAGCGCCGTGTTGGACCCTTTATGAACTACACTAAGATTAGCGATGCCCAATCAACAGTCTACACGTCACAACTTATGACAACAAGAAGGCGGATCTACAAGAGGCATGCCCAGGCAAGCACCACGATCTCCTAATCATAAACACACACACACACACACACACACACACACACACACACACACACACACACACACACACACGCATACACTACAGGTAGAGAAACAATGAAACAACACAGCCAACGGTATAAGATCTCATGTCTGCGTGCATACCACAGAGAGCTTTATTCTTTGTGTCACAAGTTACGTGTCTAGTACGCCACTGCTGTCTGGATCAAGTCTTTATCCACAGGGTCTTTCCCAGCCTGCATACCCGCTAACAGTTTGTCGACGGTCTCCATTTTGGTTTCCAAGTCGTTCCACTGCTCCATGGTTAAGTTGATGCCTTTCCGTTGAAGAGGTGCTGTGTCAGGCTCCCCGTACGGCTTGTACAGCTGGGTTAGCGACACGACAGGTTGACCACGCATGACTTGTATCGTGACGAAACGCCGCCCTCCCAACTCGAAGGATTTCGGTGAGAACGTCGTGTTGTCTATAGGCATGGTCGCGTAGGTACAATCCAGGATCGCCCCCAGCAACGGTTGTGCCTTCAGCGCCTCCCAGTGTGCCGGCGACATGGACAGCCCAACCTTTCCAGGTCTCATCTTGTTGACGTCGGCAGGATCTGGGCGATAGAACAGTCTTACAGAGATGAGAGGCTTCCCCGAAACAAACCAATAGTCAGAAACACATCGTCGCCTAATGGAAGCCGCACCTCCTGCGTTGACCGCCCTGCGTCGCGCGACTGCATCCCGTACGGCGCCGGCTCGGTTGATCGGGGCGTGTCGGGGTGTTGGTAACGTCCCGCCATGGAGTTCACCCAGTACGGCTGTTGCAAGGGAGCGATGTGGCCGTCACCATTCAGGTTTCCTCCGCTTGACTGTGCCGGGACGTTTGATACTATCGTCTCGATCGGTGAAGTTAGAGACGGTTGCACTCCGGCGACACCGCTGCAGCTGCTGGTGTTGGACGGTCTCTGTTGTCCAACTGCGTCAGGCTGACTGCGCTTTGTAGTGGGGGCTGCGGAAAAATCAGCGTTCTTCCTCTTGCGACGGTTTTTTCGGCCAGCCTGAGGACTTGCCGCTGGTGGTTCTTCTCCGGTCAGCTCAGCTACAAGATCGTGGAGCTCAGACATGTTGCTGCTTCGTCGTGACTATTTCGCACTCGGTAAAATCTTCCCGCGCTCCCCCATCTTATATACAATACCGCACAATGAACGACCAATCCGGTAGCTACACGTCATCGCCATTGTATTCATCATTACACATGTCCAGACGTGCCAGCTGGTTCAATATTGATCAACCCTTAATCCGCTTTGCATAGCTAATCTCATTAACTAATCATTATTTACAGATAATATTACTAATCCGATAACCATAAACACACCTCCAAACAGCGCCACCTTGCGGCGGCTTATAAACTGCACCTGGGCCAATTGGGCCACCTAGGCCTAGTTACTACTTGGATTTACTCTAGATGCTGCAACGTGCACGTGGTTGTTTCAGGGAGTGCTTGAATGCTGCCGGAGGCTGAATGAACGACTCAACCCTATCCGACAGGAGATGGGCGGGGCTCCAACATGGGCAGAACTCATCAACATGTGTCACAGGAAGGGGGTGGACCTGTCCGAGAAATACATGTGGGTACAGTTTCCGTTAGACCCTTCGTGGTTATAAAGTAAAGACTAGTCTTTATCTTCAACACTCGATCGAACTGGGACTTACCCGGATTTTCGGCTGACTCTGTCTACCTTGTTCACGGAATGGACCCGTCTACTCTTGGAACGTGGATGTACTAGAAGACCGCCTCCTTCACTCCTTTGCAAGAATAGTGAAGGAGGTGGTCTACATTGGAGCTTACAGACCTACCCTGAACAGAGACGGGAGGCGACACAAGCTGTATCTGGCACGTATGAACTTCTGCTACTGTCACGTGTCTCTGACGTCACGTTCCTTAGAGTAGACTGCTCTATTCTGTGAACAAGGTTGAAGAAGTCAGCCTTAAATTTGGCCCCATTCTGGTGCTGGAGAAAAAGTCTAGTCTTTACTTTATAATGACAGAAGAACTTTCTTGCTACGTTTAATGCTTACTAACGTCACTGCAAACCAAAGTAAGAAATACGAGAAATCAGACCTGTGAGTAGTAAATGTGTTTTATATGCAGAGGGATTGTGGGATGTAATTTAATCAGGTATTACACCACTTTTAGAATCCCCCACATGCTGGCGTATGCAAGTCATGTCTTGCCCAAATCAAAGTTGTGGTGGACGTGAGGATTGGATTAGTTCATGGGATTGGAAGGAAGGATAAAAGCATGAAACATACAGTGCGCCCTGCCGTACCAAGGGTTTCAAGAGCGGAAATCTTTCATAATACTACTATTACAACTCCAGCGACGCATTGTATATCATAATCCTGAAATCTGCCTGAATTCATAAGGGTGTACATGTAGGACAGTTTTAATTCGGAAATTATAATTAGGACACTATTGTCCCATTGCCTGATTCCATGCTATTTACAGCTTTGAATTTATTCAAAAAGATGATGGTAGAAAAGTAAGTGTACCTAGCGATCAGAAGCAAATAAGCTCTCAAAAATGTAGATGAGGCTCTGGCCGGAAAGAAAAAAAAGCGTAACAATAATAACCACAATTTTTTAATCATGAAAACACAGAGCACCCGATGACGCTTCCCCCAGAGCAGGTTGAAACCTACCCAATAGGGCATCGGTTTGGAAATAATATTCTGTATTTCCCTGTAGGGAACATCACCCACCCAAGAGTCCTCACCCGACCTACAACAGCTGGGGAGTGACGTGTACAGAGGTGGAGATGGACGTCCTGACAGGAGAGCGGGAAATCAGGAGATCCGACATTCTGTTCGACTGTGGGGAAAGGTAAGATGGCGTCTCATGTACTTGCAAAAGACTATTATTCTATAGCAAGGTCAAGCGTTGCCTACCGTCACAAATGTACCGCCAAGCTTGTCTACCGTCCCAACTAACTTTACCGCCAAGTTTTGCCTACCTTCCCATATTTACCGTCAAGCGTCGCCTAATATCCCGAATTACCCATCTTTCTAATCTGAACATTAAGGGTTGCCATGATCTTGTGTGCTGACTCTCTCATGCACACCTTTGGATGTTGGAGTAAAATACGCATGTATATGCCAACTGATTAAGAACCGTTCTTAAAGCATGATTCCCCTCTACATCTCACATATATACATTACAGTGTGAATCCTGCACTTGATATCGGGCAGGTAGAGGGCGCGTTTGTGCTCGGGTTAGGGTACTGGCTGACTGAGAAGTGTGTGTACGACAAGGACACGGGAAGGCTGCTGACAAACGGAACATGGGTAAACATAATATACAAGACTTTTGATAACAAAGTACACTACCTATGTGCCAGTACTGTAGATTATGATTTCTAAATACTAATATGCATAATACTTTTCCGACATAAATAGGGAGTGACATACATTAAGTCAGAAGTGTAATGACATAAAATAAAAATAAAGCACATTGATAAATTATCTTAAGAGTCAGACGCTTCAGATAGCATCCTCTATCTTTCTTCAGTGACCATGCATAGTAGTAAAGGGAGTTGCGGTGATTTCGGATTGAATTGTGAAGAAACTAACAGAGCTTGACTTATTTGCTACTGCTGTACATGTAAAGCCATTTCAATATAAAGTAAACATTACCCGACTTTACTACTTTTGGTAATTCCAGCTTTCCGTGATGTGATAGATGTAAAGCATCTTTTCATGATCATGTCTTGCAGGAATACAAACCTCCGACCACCAAAGACATCCCGGCCGATCTCCGAGTCACGCTGCTGCCCAACGCGCCCAACCCGTACAACGTCATCAGGTCCAAAGGTAGGGAGATATATGTTCTCTACCCTGGGTGCCAAACTAGTATCGGGCCGTTAGGCCGTTTTCCTTCGGCAGTCAAGATCCCTTCCCCCGCCTATCTAAATTACCGCCACGGAGGAGTTGAGCCCAGGAAAATTTGTCCGGTACTTGTTCGGGCTCTTGGCTGCCGAAGGAAAACGGCTAATAACGGCCCGATACTAGTTTAGTCTGGGTATATGTTCTCCTGCTAAACATGTTGTGAAGTGATTTCGTTCACTGTGTTTTATTAAGACAGCTGTCTACGGCCGCCATGCTTCTACCTTGAAGCCCGCGGATGATTGATTGGTTGATTGATTCCGTACAAGGCGTTCGTTAATACTGTACATCATAGTACAGTGGGGTAGTGAGGCGTAACGGCAGAGTGCTTGACTCGGAACCAAGGGGTCCCGGGTTCGAGTCCTGGCATGCCACCGATCTTGTGCCCTTGGGAAAATCACTTTACACGACGTTCCTCACTTAATTCAAATGAAAAGAAGTATTGTCTGCCCTGAATTTGTTTCTATGTATGGTACACAACACCAGCAACAACTACCTTTCTCACACGTGTAATTTATGGTTACAATTGTAATGAACTAAAATAAATCAAACCAAAGAATAGGATTGTAAACTTAACTGACTACAACACAAAAGAGAGTCGGGTTATTTTATGTGGTTGATATATCAATGAATGAAAGACCTTTATTGTACGCTTGTGCTCTAACGAGCTAAGTACAGGTCATGGGTAAACAGGGAAAAGAAAACAGCAATGACACTTACATACTATATAAACTAATGTGATCTACTATTTACAGGTTCAGCTTCTTCTCGCTTCTTGACGCAGTTAAAGATGTACGAACATATTGAGCTAATGATACATGGTTTGTCAAGTTTCATGAGGAATTCGAATGCATCAATGCATCAAGAAAGGATTATATCTGTAATTACATATATGTAATTGTTTTAATGCATTTACAATATTGCAACTTCCAAATCTATGACTCCATGCAGCTGTAGGAGAACCACCCCTGTTGATGTCGTGCTCAGCCCTGTTTGCCCTGAAACAGGCCATTCAGACCGCACGGCAAGACTCCGGCATCGGGGATGACTTCTTCTCCCTGGGTACGTAATATAGCTGTATCTGCGTCGGAAGTATTGTTTCGGGAGCGTCAATGTGTGCAAAATTTGTATGTTTCAGTTTCCAATTGAGTTAGCGGAGATCGTGTTTTGCTCGATTGACACGGTTTGACACGGTACCGGTATGCCCTGGATTCAAGGATATATCAACAGAAACGTATCAAAAATGCATAAAATTTATAGAATGTACGAAAGTAATAGACCGCCGAGCACTTCGTTTTGTGGATGTTTGGAGTGGAGGTTTGTTAACGTTACACTGGTGTTAAGAAATTTAAGTTGCACCAGGGGGAAACGTTGCAAGCCGTCAATGCAGTAGAAACATTAAAAAAGAACTACAAAACATTTTTATCTCCCAACTGTGGTCGGGTCTTCCATAAGAAGATAGGGCCAGCAAGCCTCAGTAGACACTGTGTATTGTCACAGTATTATTTGGATATGAAGTTAAATACTATAACAATCTCCTGAACAGTTCTCGGATATCTGTTGCTTTTTTTTAAGGACTTAACAACTTTGCAGTTATGTGATGAGTTAATCTAATGGTTAAGCCATTTGATAAATATAACTTATGTTCCTACATGTTCTTCTTAGGTAGATAAAGAACTGATTTTTACTATATTAAAAATCCCGTTGGTTTAAACGGGTTGGTTGGTATACCACGAGTAATTTTGAAGTCTGATGTTGTCTATGTATAAGCAGGTTATTAGTTACTAGGTTAACTAATGATAGTTTTTGTTAACTAACCCCAATACAGACGGTCCGGCCACTGTGGAAGCCTGTCACCAACATTGCCTGGTGGATTCTTCCAGCTTCACGCTGTGACGTCAAGATGTCAGGACATGGCGTCACGACATCACGCTGTGACGTCACGTTTATCTTGATGCTTATGCTTATTAGGATCTTCATTAGAAGAAAAGACAGTTCCTTACTACTCCTGTATATTCAAACTACATTATAAGAAATTTACCATTTAACAATTCCACCATCATTATTTAATGATTGCAATATATACAATACTACAATTTAACAACTACACAATAATTAATAAATAACTACGTATATTCAGCACTACTAACGAAACATGACTACTAATTACTCCTTACCTTACACCTTAGCTCCTCCCGCAACTTTACTGTTGCATAAATTACACTTTTTGCTACTGATTGCTAATTAATAATAATCCCGCCTCAATAATTCATTGCACAAACATAATATACAGGAATTAGAATATACTTGAATAGTACTACGCCTAGTAACAAGGTTTACCTATTTTGCTTCAAAATGTGATTTACACATATAAATTATTGATATGCCAAGACGTATAACAATTACTATATTGATTAGATCATGAAGTTACCAATATTTACTGACAAAAATATATTATATCCAAATGGAATGCCTGAAACAGAAACAGTGGTGTAATAGCGGCGTAAGTTTTTGTTATACAATCACGAAGAATAACAATTTATACAATGTAATCTAATACCGCATAATACCAACATACAAGTGTTCGACAAATGGCTTTACAGTGTACTACTATGTTACAGTGTATTATACAGTCCAAATCCCAGTCTGTTTACAGCAACAGCTTTCTTAAAAAGATTGCAAAACTTGAGTTACTGATACTAGTGTGAGTTGTATGCATAACATTTTAGTGTTAGAGGTGTATTTACCTATTTGAAATTTTTAAGCAATGAAGTTTTTATGATTTTTCTCTAACACTAAATGTGTTGCATACTACTCACTAAAGGCAATAACCTTAGTCTGTTTTAAACACAACAGAGATGTTATCATATTGTATACACGTACAAAATGTAAATGTCAAGAAAATTATATATATACACTTGTTATATATAGTAATATAACATTATAATTACTAATAGAATTACAATCAGCAAGGGAAATCTTGGATTGTCCTAGGAGAAATTAGATTACAAGCTCTCCTGGAAAAGTCCCGATTGCCCTGAATTCAACTCTCCCCTTTGACATATGTCTTTACATTAAAATGAAGAGACCGTAAGGTAATATTCTAAATCGTAAAATATGATATTATATTTATCACTCTCTAAAAACGGAATGAAATGTTTTGAATTTAGAATCATATGGTATGGTGAACTCAATATTAAAAGTGGGCATAATATTATATTGTAAAGTTGGAAGAGGAATTTGAAATACAGTATAATATTTTAAATGTTATCAATGTATTCTAACATTACAAAGATAGTACCACAATATAGTATTTAACAGATGAACACGATTTTTCTAGGAGAATAATATTCAGACTCTTACATAATGCATTAAATGATTGTACACTGGGAATGTAAAAGGTAACTTTTTAATTTCTTTTTTATTATTAGAATTTAGAATACAGCATGCGTATAGTATTGCGTATACAGTATACAGTGCTTTTTGGTTATAAACATGCTATGTAAAAATTTCACATGATAATTAACATCGCTTCATAAATGGCTGAGGAAGTTGGGTCTCAGTACAAAAGAGATAATTAAGTTAACAACAAGAGCAGAAGCAGCAGCAGCAGAATCAGGATCTGCATGGATTTGGAACACGTACCTGCTAGAGGAAAGGCGGAAGCGAGGCGAACTCTAGCATACACCTATGATAGTCATCAGGTGTTTCGAACACTGACTCCGCTTCGAACTTCGAACGCTGCCGCAGGAATAGAACACTAGTACTGTTTTGAAAAAAGTCAGGACTGATGGGGACAGCTCACCAGTGGGTGGTGGTGTTTTATACACTTCTGGCCCGCCAACCCGAGGGAATATTGAATCAAAGGCCGAAATTCCCAATGACGGGTGGATTCAACTGACGATCCCACTGGTGAGGCATACCATTACCATCGTACAAGGTGTGTATTTTTAAACATATTGTCGATATCATCTTTGTCTTTCAGTCTTTGAGGGGCGACTTACAACCAGTTTCCTTCAGGGATTTTGTCTGGAGTATCATTAACATTAAATACAGAGATGTGCACTGGGAACCGTTCTTCAGTCTATGTGCTCCCTGCCAGGTATATATATCCTCTGTTATATCCCATCAAACTACACGACTTTCCAGATTGTTCTCTTTAATTGTAATTGTAATCGTCAACATTATTCGAAAGGGAAACTACTTTTACCATTTTTGAACCCTAAGTTGGATTTATATCTGCAAATTAACTCTCGCCTAATACTTTATCACTCACGAGAACACACACACACACACACACACACACACACACACACACACACACACACACACACACACACACACACACACACAAACACACACACAAACACACATAAAATACAGTCTCTCTCCAGTTGACCCAACCCCTCACCCCTAACCCTTTATCACACCATATTACCTCCTTAATAACACTAACACCACACACACACACACACACACACACACACACACACACACACACACACACACACACACACACACACACACAAACACACACACAAACACACACACACACACTGTATGTATACTCAGTCTCTTTATAATTGGGTGTCCCTGGTATAATATGAAGAGAGCCGATTTCCAAACATTATTATGCACCCATGACCAACTATCTTTCTCGTTGCAGTGCAATGTGTTCATAATACCTGACTGTACCTTTCTACTTCCTTTTTCAGGTTTAATACGACTTCATCGCTCATACGGACACGCTGGTAGAAGACCTTCGTCTGTTCTTCCACAGGAGCGGTATCGTAGAAGGACTACCTTTGCCGTCAGCCCCCAAACGGCAAAACTCTCATCTTCATATCTGCATTGCGAATTCAAATCTGATTGCCAGCCTAGCTTATTGACGTAGGTCAGTGACGAAATGAAGACAAGACAAAACCTCGGCATGTAGGCTACGTAAACAAACTTCCATCAGGTTGGAAAATAACTGAGTAAAGGTTATTTTATTCACAAACATTTGTTTTATATGAGCAGACGTTTCAATAACTGTCTGACATCTTTATCATGTTACTGCTCTACTGTGCACTGGGGGTAGGTGTTATATACAATATATCATAAAACTGCAGATTTCTTGTCGATTGCGAACGGATTTCAATGGTTCTACCGACCTTTAACAAGAGACATTTTAAATTGCACATTTTGTGCATTTATATATATTTAAGGCATTCAATGCAATTTTGAGAGCAGCAAAACTGGAAATATTCTGAATAAGGACCTCTTTTTTTGATATTGGCACATCCTGCTTCACAATGTCAATAGCACATTTCGATCAGAAATAACCAGATAAAAACCAGGACAAGTCCTTTTTTCCATGGGTGGTACCCTAAAAATCAGCCAAGGGCCCTTTCAGTTACCTTTAAATTTTGGGAGTTTTTGCTCCATGAGGGTCGATAGACATTGGGGTAGTGTTGTTTCAACTCAGTATGTAGATAAGTGACTAGAATATTGACTTTTTTTAGGTTTCCGAGCCCCAAAAACTGCATTGGAAACCCTAAACAATCATTTACTTTGACAAGGGGGCAGTCCAAGTGCAAGTACTGTTTAAATAAAAACTATGGCTAAGAGCTTCCTCTTCTCGTTTCATGTAAATCAATATTTAACAGGGGAGATGAAAGTGGAGTTTCACCAAAGGAAGCAAAACAATGTGCAAAGTTCTGCCATATTTATTCATGAATGAATGAATGAATCAATCAATCAATCAATAAATGATCATTGATGTACATTTATGCCCTTACAGGCTTAGGCCACAGCAAGTAATATTTATGGATGACATCAGCGCGCGCATTAATTTTCGCCTGATTTTGGAAAAAATTGCCTTCTGACAGTGGTAACATGTCGAAAATGGGCAAAGATGTCTGCTGCCATGCCGGAAGGTGGATGGTAGATAACTATGAAGAGAGGAGACAAGAAAAGACTCTGATTTGATGTTTTGTTTCTTACTTTGATGCAGAAATATCTGGTACTGGACCTGGCTGTTTATATGTGATGTTCCCACTGAATAAAAACCATTTGTAAAATGATTGAGTCAACATTTTTAATAGTAGGAACCTTGTTTTTTTTCGCCCACTCGCATTTGGAATCTGCGGAGAATGTCATCCATACAATTTACTTGCTGTGGCCTTAGTACAGGTCATGGTGATAAAGTGCTATGTATAATAACAGTGATACAAGTCTAGCATCTCACTGCATCAGATTCTAGATAGCAATATTATACAGGTTCAACTCCTTGCTTCTTTATACGGTTGTTATATTCATCAATAATTTGAAAAGCAGAAAAAAATCCAGATCACTGTTTACTTAACAATGGCAAAGACTACTCTTCAGATTTGTTATCTCAACTCACTTGAAAACAAATAACATGCTATTTGTAAACTTATATAAGGACTATTCAATGTGGGGTCGTGTGGCGCAGTCGGTAGCGCGTTCGGCTCACACTCGAGAGTTCGTGAGTTCGAACCCTGCCCATGTCACCGATCTTGTGCCCTTGGGAAAGGCACTTTACACGACTTTCCTCACTTCACTCAGGTGTAAATGAGTACTTAGCTTCGGCTAGGGACGTCCCTCGGATAGGACGTTAAATGGAGGTCCCGTGTTTGGGAGAGCCACACCCCACGCACGTTAAAGAACCCACCGCACTTATCGAAAAGAGTAGGGGACCTTCCCGGTGTGATTGGTTCAAGCCTTACAGTCTGGTCTCGGGGTTGACATCTTTGAAGAGGTGATAGTCACCTGTTATGTCAATCCTTCCACAAATGTGGTAAATCGTCATAAAATAAAATAAAATAAAATGAATTCAACAGTGATAATTGCCTTCGACGAGAAGGGGCTATATATGGAATCGCTTTCGTAGATTATGCACGATAAAGTTTGAAGGCATGGTCCGTGGTTCACGATTTTTGGCAGGCAGTTTGTCATACTGACGGGCATTGTGAAGGCAAGGAAATGGGCTCGGGGGGGGGG